TTGCAGCCAACCCTCAATGACAACCAGCCTTTGTGTCCCTGTGATGGGGATGTCCCAGGAGGCTGCAGGAGGAGAGACATGTCTTTTTCACCTAGGTGAAAATAGGACCAGTGGTGGGCTGGAGTAAAACAAAACGGAGAGAATTCCTGGGGGAGTTAAATGTACTCTTCCCAATAGAACTGAGCGATCACAAACTACTGATCACTCATCAGCTCACAGCTATTGACTGTCGGTCATCATTTCCCGCAGAGATTCCCCCTTCCCTCTTTATTTCTCCAGTGCTCATTGGAGGGACAGAGATGGGGAGGGGGCGGGCACAGTTTGCTCTGGCTCCAGAGAGGCAGAGCCAGCTGTCAATCAGGCAGTGGGGTGGATCCTGACAATATAATTTACCAGCTGCAGCACTGCTCTTCGCTGTCAGCAAATAGTGGGCATTAGCCTGCTATATGCTGTTTTTGGGTTACAGGAGTACATTAGTAAATGTCCTTCTGTGTCTCAAAATAGAACTATAGCCAAATAACGGTTTGACTTTAGTTCTCTTTAAAAATGTAATTGAAAATAATAAAACCAGCTATTTAAATCGCAGGGCTTTGAGGGTTTTAGTTGGGAACATTTTGGAGTGAAGGTCTGCTATAATAATCCCATGGTTTAGCTATGTTTTTCTTTTTATCTTTTTCTCAATGTATTTGTGTCTAAGCATTTTTCAGTGTTCTCTCCTTTCAGTGCATCTGTGCTGCACATGTGGGATGTTTTAGTTGCTCAATCAAGCAAATGATGCTGGTATGAGAATTTGATGAGGTATTTGATTGCTATCGGACCAATTTTCAAAAACAGGTGCAAAATCAGCAGTTTGATTTCATTGTAGAAAGATTGGGTGGTTTTAATCACCGCACTACTCACAGGGTTTAACTTCATGTTCTTTGTGCAGAGAGCAGCCGTTCGATTGTGCTCTTTTGCACTTGATGTGCCGCCCCCAAGGGGGTTGTGGTTTAAAACAGTAAGGTTTGCAGGTGGATTTCCCATCTTCATTACATCAAATATTATATTCTCAAGTGGCCAAAAGCATTGTTCAGAATACTAGGTGTACCCTAGGTGTACTGTGACAGATTGTTTATGCTATAAGAATATATTTGTCATTTTAAATTATCCTGATTGACATGTTGCCTTTTGAGAGGACAAATTTAAGAATATATTTGCTTTTCTATCTATTTGGATGGATCAAAAGATGGCCACGCACATCAACGTGATCATACAGTTGATCATTCGATGAGACGAAAATGGACTCTTGAGAGTTGATTGGATGTGACGGAATTTCAATGATCACTTCTAATCGATCAAATGAATCTATCTGCGTGTGTGTCAATCATCTGATCATAATATAGATCTATTGAGTGATGATTTTTAATATGTTTCTGATAGGTGGTACTTCTAAAAGATACCATATGTGTTTCTGTTTCTGTTTTGATGCCGAATCGGTTGATTGGAATTGGTAGTAAATTTCAAATAGTGGTTTTAACCTATGGGATCCATTAACCGCTACTCTATAAAATCCTGTTGAATAGAAGAAATAGGGATGCTGTTGTCACCAGGACAGGAAGGCACAGACAGCAGTCTATAAATTTCCAAAAGTTTTAACCATTCCCCATTCTAATGTTATTTTAAATTTTTTTTTACTATGTGTTTGTTAGAGCTCCCAATGGGGACACCGACCCCAAGTAAAAGCCAGCCACAGGTTCTAATCCTTTCCCACTCTATCCCAAAGAAATAAACACTGGTGGCTGCGTTTGGTTTATATATCATTTTTTTTTTTAAGTAGTTATTTAAAGGAGAAGTATTGGGAGAGTAAAATGTACCCTTCCCAATACTTAGAGCCGACGTGTGACACTGCAGCTGTCACGCTTCGGCTCTACAGATTGAGAACTGAGCGATCACAAACTGTTCAGTTCCCGATCATCGCCCTGCAAAGAACTGTGACTTGCTCCTCCCTCTCTGTTCGTCCAGCGTTCATTGGAGGGACAGACAGGGGAGGGGGCGGGCACAGCTGGCTCTGGCTCTAGAGCGGCAGAGTCAGCTGTCAATCAGGCAGCGGGGTGGATCCCAACAGTATTGTTGGTATCTTTCCCAGCTGCAGCACGTCTCTGCGCTTTCGGAATATAGCGGACAATAGCCCACTATATACTGAGTTTGGGGTGCGAGGAGAACATAAGTAAATGTCCTTCTGTGACCCAGATGAGAACTATAACCTAAAAAAAGGTGTGACTTTAGTTCCCTTTTTAAAATCCTTTTTTTAAATCCATCACACTTATTTTTAAATGATCTCAAGGCATTGGACTAAGTGTGCCAGCACTGTGAGTCCATCATGTTCTATTGATTTGCACATTGCTGTAATCCTAAAACACTTACCAACTTTTTTGTTTTTATTTGTTCTGTTAAATACATCATTGAAGGTTTTATATCCTTTTTTTTTTTTTTTTTTCATTGCACTAAAATACCTGTTTGTGTCAGAAATCTTGTTAACTAATAACTTGCTGTGCTTTCTGCCTGTGCTGCAGTCTTATCAGCTGCATTGTCCGTTATTTGAGGACTACAGAACACCTCCCACTTAAAGCGGACCTTGACCCCCTTTTAATAAAAAATCACCGCAGCATGCAGCTCTGCATGCTGATATAAAATCATTGTGCATTCATTAGTTAAACAAACTTGTTTTTCATTTACTTATAAATAGAGTTAATCTACTTCCTGGTCCCGTTCTGGCACAAATGATGTAATGTGCCAAAGCATTGCATCCTGGGAAGGTTACATCAGCAGAGCATTGCTGGCAAATTCCATCTGTAATCTCATGACCTCTCAGGGAAAGGCATTTTCCTCCCCTGAGATTTGCATTGTCACATGTCCTGGTCACATGTGCCAGAGTTCCAGGAAGTAAAGTGAGATCTAGTAATCTGCCCTTAGTAAACATGGCCACTGTGAGAAGACTGGGGAAGAAAAGAGAAATAAGGAATGCAAAGAATACAAAGCCGGCGATTATCTAGAATTGTGTTTGTAGATTCTCATTACTAAACATTTCTAAAGGTTGTTTGTTGTTATTTTAAAGGTATGGGTAAAGGTCCGCTTTAGGCCCCGTTCCCACTGCGCGATATGCAAATCGCGCGTTTGTCGCGAGATTTGCAGCGCGATGTCGCGTTCAAGCTTGCATTGAGCAAGCTTGAATCGCGGCTAAATCCGCTCCAAAAAGGGTCCTGCTGTAGCGACACACGACTCGCGACAGCAGGACACTTTGCCCCATTGGATTGCATTGGAGCGCGATATCGCGCGGTAATTTGCCGCGATATCGCGGGAATTACCGCGCGATAAATCGCTCAATGTGAACGGGGTCTTAAGGGGGAGGCATTTGTAATCTCAACACACTTTCTTGTCCGAGAATGACAATGCTGCTTCCCCTATATACAGTCTGGTGGCATACATGTTGTCACCCTTAAGTCTGTGACACACTGCACGTGAAGCAGCGCGGAGCGGTGGCGCGCTGCATTCGCAAGCAGTGTGTCATGTAATTTTCTCCTCGGCACATCACCTTGCGAGAGCTCGCGTACCTGGGCGTGCCGAGATGAAAAATGTCATCTTCTGCCAATCGGTTCGCGCGTATAAACCCGTGCGTCAGCATGCGACGCCTGGCTGGTTACGCACGAGCCGATTGGCTGAAGGTGCAGTCAATCATCTGGCTGAACTCAGCTCACACACGACACGCAAAGCTCCGTGCCGGACAGCTTTGCTTCGCTCTGCGCGAGTTTGCGTGCAGTTTTTCACGGACTTTAGACAGGAAGTGCATTACAGGTTCGATTACCAGACGAAAAGAAGAATAATGCAGCCACTACTCCTGAAGACTGATGAGCTGCAATATTTTAAATGTTTGTTCTAGGGTCTCGATGTTTTAACACAGTTAGCCAAACTCCGGCCCTCCTAGCTGTGGTGAAACTACAAATCCCATCATGCACCTGCCTCTTGGAGTCATGCCTGTGGCAATGTTTAATGGGACTTAAGAGACAACAGCTGTAATGCCTCAGTACTTGTGATTGGCGCTGTCAGCTTCCTGGCGGGCTCGGCACGTGGAGCTGCGAACATGCCCGAGCCCATTACTAATGGCTACCCCACTTTAACATATTTTAGGTATTGGTGTAGCTAAAGGTTAGCAATGTCACTTTTTGGGTGCGCATAGCGGGGACATATGAATAAGACAATTGACTAGAATTACTACATTTTACCACACACACACTTTTTTGTTTTGTATGTGTTCACACTTCAATGTAGGAGTGTACTGAGAGAATGGTGGCATGCTACATTTTGTTACAGTGCACTGGATGGCACCACAGGGCACCGTAGTGCAGTACACCGCATGGTGTGTATTCTCTAAATAACGTTAGAATAAAAGTAAACTGTGCCTTGCCTTATAACAGCGCTAGACACCCTGCATCTCAGTGTCGGCTCTCTAGACACTAGCTGCATGGTAAAATTCTGCCTTTTATCGTGTGGTTAGTGTTAATAGGCCCAAAAATGTACTGAAAGAGAAAGATGTATATTTGAGGCAAATATGCTAACTAATCGATTTTGAAAATAATCGTTAGCTGCAGCTCTAAAAATCTGTTTATAATGACAGAAATTCAGAGCTGTCCTGTTTCTTGTGCACACTTCCTGCGTTTTCTTAAGTCGTCTAATTGGCCCTCCTAGTTGTTCTCTTGGAACTACACAATGAGTAGTCTCTATCTCTGGATTGTAGGATAGTGGGTGGGGCTGAGTAGAATGTACCGCACATGTCCTTTTTTGTTGTTTTTGCCCTGTCATGCACTTTTTAAGGATTTTCACATGTAACTTCAGGAGTGTTTAGTATCTGTTCCCTTTTCGCGATTATGTATGTATTTCTTTTCTCTAGCATTGCTGAAATCTACATCTGTATCATGCAGCCTTTGTTCCTTGATCAAGATAAATATTTCTTTTCTGCTTTTCAGCAATCCGCCGCTTAGTGAAGAAATGCTGCCCCCTGGAGAGTGGATGTGTCACCGCTGCTCCATACGCAGGAAGGTAACTTGCTTTTCACGTACTTACCATCTTCAGGTGATTGAGCGGTTTTGTAATGTGTTTGATATTTGCATAGCTTGGTGTGGCTGCTATAAGGAACTAGCTTGACATTCATGATCCCTAGTTCTCCCAAATGAAGCTGCACACACAGCTTGCTGTTAGTGAATGGGTATGGAATAAGAAACATGAGCAGACAGTACTGTTTTATAGACCTTGTGCTTTTTTCTTTTACTATATAGCATCTTGTATTTGGCTATAAAGTTTTATGACTTTTTGATGATGGTGTTTACACGTTAGTAATAAAAAGCTCCAAGTACATACAAGGGTAACATCTACCTGCCCAATATCTTTGATACTTGTGAGTGTACTGATTAACTCAAGTGTGGGCATTTTTTTAATCTGGGATTTTGGGAATACTCCTCTTTAGTATGGTGATACCTTGCCTACATTGTGTTCTGTTTTGCTGGGGGAGGCGACAACACCGCTCACCACACCTTAGCTGTCTTTTTTTTTCTTTCTGTATTCTGATCACTTCCTGAAATCCCTTTCCTGTGCCAATGGTTGTACTATTCTTGGCACTCTGTTAGGAGAGGGGACATGCCTTCTGAAATGGAGAACCTGTCCTGAAGCCTTGTGACAAGGATAGAAGAGAATGGCACAGGACAGTCTTCCTCGCTAGTGTGTAAATGCTCATGTGACGTAATGCCGACATGACTAAACCTGGGTACATACCGAGCGAATTCCTGCTGAATCGGACGAAATTCGCTTTGTTGGTGACTTTATTCCATGGGCAGAAATCAATCGTTAGACCGACTTTTGCCGAAGGAAAATCTTCGGCTGAATGGTGCTTGCAGGAGGAATCTTTTTTTTTTTTCCCTTCATTCAGCCCACAGATTGAGCACAGAAAATAGAACAGTGTATACTCGTGGCCTCCCGCCTGTCCCTCGTGGCCTCCCGCCTGTCCCTCGTGGCCTCCCACCTGTCCCTCGTGGCCTCCCACCTGTCCCTCGTGGCCTCCCACCTGTCCAGATACAAGAAATAATTTTAATCAAAACCGTATTTACATAAGGTCTTTATTGATAACAACTTAGAAGACCGACTTAAAATAACTTTAATGCATTCAACAAACAAATGTAGATAGTGAGTTTTAACATAACATCATTATACAATCATTATATGACAGTCCTGGTGTCCTGTGTGTGAGGGCACTACAATTGTCAGCGTCCTTGTCCATTAAACTTGTCAGTCCCAAGTACATACAGCTACACACTGGGACTTACTGGACTCGCCGAGACTAGAGGCAGAGGTGAGGAGGAAGGTGCAGGGTCCTCCAACGGTGGCCAGCTGAATTGCCTCTCTGAACAGAGTGTGTGCAGCCTGAGCACCGGTACAGGCTCATACACAGAGGGAGGAGGGGCATGAAGGGGTTAATGTACAGGTCACATACAGTGGGAGGATGGTGATGAAGGGGTTAATGCATAGATGTGCAGGCTAAGGGAGGTGAAAGGGTTAATATATATAGATGACTCTTCCATTCATTAGTTCCTGTTCTTTCCCCTGCCTCTGATGTAAGAGGAAGGGGAGGTCTTGGTAATGTAAACATTGCCATGTGATCGCTGTGATGACCAGTCACAATGATCATAGGAAACGGAGCCGGTCTCTCTGCAGATCGGCCCTGTGTGTGTTGTTAAGCTGCTGCAGCTCTCCTCTGTCTAATAACAGCAGAGAGCAACAGCTGGGGAGGGCAGAGCTAAATGTGTAAAAGAAAAAAGGCCCAGCGCCCAGAACTGCATGTCCTGGGCGAGGGCCGATACTATTCCATCATCCCTGCCTTTAGAAATGTTTAGTAATGGCAACTACACTGTTATGTAACCTTCCCAGGATGCATCTCTTGGGCTACATCCCTAATGCCGAATAGTACCAGAAAGTGGAAAAACAGTAATTGTAAGTAAAAGAAAAATGTTTATTTAACGAATGTAAGCTGACTTCATATCCGTATGCAGAGCTGCATTCTGATGTGATTTTTAGTAAAAGGAAGTAAAGGGCCGCTTTAAGACTATAATACTATGTAATCTCAATGCATGACTGACTGTGTGTGCCTTAAATGCCCAGAACCAGTATTTTTACATTTTGGGCTAGTGCTGGTTGGTTGGACCATTCATTTATCAGGTATTTAGATGGGAAAATTCACCAAGAGCGCCCATGATAGCGATGATGGCACTATAGGCATGGACATGCAATAGCTCTTTTTCTGCTAGTAATAAAAGATTTTTGTTTCTTTTTTGAGGGAAGAAACCTAGAGGTATAGGTAATACCCTTTTTAGTTTTGGATAATTTGTTTGGGGGGTTGTTATCACACATGCTTTTTCCTGGTTACCATTGTCACTGAAACTAAAAGTGTGAGGGGAAAATTCCAAAATTGTGAGTTGTCAATAGATTGGAAATGTTCTAACGGGGACTCTTGTTCTGGTGACAACTATCTGATGGCATTTCCTTTTTTGGAGAGATTTCACCTTCCGGTTGTCTACAGGACAGGAAGTGAAAGGAAATTTCCCCAAGGGGGACACTAATGGCAAAAAAAAAAACTGACCGTGCTTTTAACCATGTCTTACTCCATGGAAATGGGGGAATTTGGGCTTTATGCTTAAATATGGTTTCTTAGCTGTGATAGCCCTGCATTTCCATTTACATACCCCAGTACTGCTTATATTTTCATTTTGTCATGCCAAATTTTACACACATTTGCTGCCAATTTCTACTTAATTACTTGAATAAAATTGTATATTTTGTTTATTACAGTAAAGCACATCCTGCAATAGAGTATTTGTGAGCTATTCTGTCTATATGTACCTCTGTATAATCTATTGCTAGGTTAACAGACTTGCTATTGGCTTTCTTTCCCTGCAGAAACGCGAGCGTAAGAAGGAGCAGGGCCAGGTCAATGGCTTAATTGACAGGTATGGAAGGAGGACTGTGTCTCCCACCAATGACTTGGATTTTTCGGAACGAGCTGCCGGCAGCCTTCGAGCCCTTGCCCAAGCCAGGATGTTGGAAAGGAGAGTAAGCCGCCCAGGCACGCCTACTTCCAGTGCCAGTACAGACACTCCCAATTCTGAGCAAAACGACATGGATGAGGACATGATCGATGTGGATGATGAGCCTTCTGGAGAGTCTGAGGGTGGGCACTCGCAACTCAAGAGACCATTTCAACTGCTCATTGCAGCAGCCATGGAGCGGAATCCCACCCAGTTTCAGCTGCCCAATGAACTCACCTGCACCACAGCACTTCCAGGTCAGTGGCCATCATTCAACTGTATTCCAAGTGATACCTATTCTGTGAATTATTATTGATGTGTAGGTAGTCCAGCTTGTTAACAATCCCATTATGTAGAATAGAAGATGATCTTGTTGTACTCCTTACCGGAGATTTTAAGCCTGATGAAGGGATCCTGCGCGGACCCGAAATCGCTTGTTTTTCATTTGACAATTGTTCAATAAAATTAACTTCTGGTGATCCCACGAGGATATTTCGGTTTGCTGGTGACATTCTTTGAAACGATAATATGAATGTAGCATGAGGAACTTTGTTGTAAATGGGCCTGATAAGTCCTTCCTTGTGATTTGGGAGAAGAAGACTACGATAAATGTGACATAGAGTGGAGGAGGAAGAGAAGAACATTATAGTGTGGAGAGAGAGGAAGGAAGGAAGGGAAATGGATAGAATAGGTCAAATGGAAAAGGAAGTGAAAGATGGAATGGTGTGAAGGGGGGGAAGATAAATAGAGGTGGGGAAGGGAGCAAGGGAAAAGAGGGGGAAGAAGGAAATCTATTTATCCTGATTAGCAAAAAGAAATCTGCTTTGTTTGCTTGAAGCCCATTTCCAGGCAAACCAAAATAAACCAGATTTTTTTATGGTGATAATGTTACTTTGCATGTAAGATCCGTCAAGTAAATACCTCTCTCTCTTTCTCTCTCTCTCTCTCTCTATCTCTCTATCTCTATCCGTCTATCCATCCATCTAAATGTATTGCAAATGCTCTCATCCACAGGCACCAGCAAGCGAAGAAGAAAAGAGGAAATGACAGGGAAAAATATCAAGAAAGCACAGCACGAGTTGGATCACAATGGTCTGGTGCCATTACCCGTTAAAGTCTGCTTCACTTGTAGTAGGTATGTGCAGTAACAAAGTCTGTACTTAGATCTTGTGTTCTCTCATCTTCTTTGTATACATTAAAAAGGAAGTTAAATGCCAACACCAGTAGAATGAATCATCCACTAGCTACTTGTTGTTATGAGCAGTCTCACGAGAGACTTTTACAAAACTCCTGCTTTGTTCTTATCAGACCCTTTAGTAGTGGCTGACATGGGTGGGTGAACCTAGCAGGTTGTATCATTTTCAAATTGAGTGCAGGTTTTGTGGTTGCGCATATTGCAAATAGGTGAAAATGTTTTAGAGCGGCCACTTCTGAAATTACTTTTGACATTGCATGTGTATTCATATGCAACTAACGCCATTATTTGTTCACAGGAGCTGCCGTGTGGCTCCTTTGATCCAATGTGATTACTGCCCTCTCTTGTTTCATATGGACTGCTTGGACCCGCCACTCACTGCCATGCCAACCGGCCGTTGGATGTGTCCCAACCATATTGAACATGTTGTGGTAAGTTGCCTACTCTTTGTAACAATACATTGTCATTGTTGCAAGAACGATTTTCACAGATTTTGCGCTTTTCTGGACATAATGCTATATAAGAACGGATCTAACAATCTGAAATATTGCCGTAAAATAGAACATTGTGTACTTTTTCTAATGAAGCGTATCTAAAATATATAGTATAAGCAGTATTACAGAAAGAAGTATCTGCAGTAGACTCCTTCTGATGTTCCTTTGTCTTTTTTTACACCTTATTGTGCTTCTGTAGCTGAACCAGAAGAACATGACTTTGAGTAATCGGTGCCAGGTGTTTGACCAATTCCAGGATAGCATTTCACAGCATGCAGTAAAGCTGGACTTTCTGAGTCGTATCCACAAATTACATCCCCCAAACCGCCGGCTTTTGCCTTTGATTAGAAAAAACACAGTCAAGGTATGTACACTAGATTTGGAGTGTTCCTTTAAATATAAAAGTTTGGGTGTTTTTGGTTGTTGCATCAAATTGTAAATTAACATTTTCACCACAATATTTTTCTCCTCCTCCTTTCTGTACGATTGATTCAAAAGGTCGTTCTTTATTGTCTTTTTTTTTTATGCGAAGAAGTGTGGTTTTTTTTTTTGTGTGGTTTTTTTCAATGACTGTTAACATCACCGCTTAACACCTTAGGTACCAGAAGCAATCAAGGCACAGTATCAGACCCCTCCAGAGCTAATACCTCCTGCAGGTATACGTGACGGGGAGCTGATCTGTAACGGTGTACCCGATGAGTCCCAAAAACATCTACTGCACTCTGAGCACTTGGCTAACCAAACAGAGCAACAAGAGGTTTGTACATCCTTTTTTGACTGTTTTCATCAATCCCTGTCTATCGGTCTTCATGAAACATTGCTTAAGTGAAGTAAACTCAATCATAGAGTCTTTGGGGGCGGGGGGTATCTGCACTCCTGCCATCTTGTTGTAAAGGCCACGAAAGCTAGAGTTCCTCATTTTAGTTTTTTAGACTGATTGAAGTCTTATCTTTGCAGTCCTGATGTTACAGTCCAGAGCCTTGGTATACATCTTTTGACTTTTCGCCCTCACTGTATTTGTTACGGCCTGTGATTGTGTTAACACCTAATAAAGGCAAGATGTATTGTTGTAAGCAGTAAAGGGGAGGATTTCTTGGGGCTCTGCAGGATTCCTGGGGTTCCTAGCTGTACAGATTGGCTGCTTCTACCACCCTGCACTACTCCCAAAATGGACTGTTTTATGTGAAAGGTTCCATATTGTAGTTTTTGTTTTTTTGCTGCCTGTCTTCTTACAAGAAAAGCTTGATAGTTAACCCACTGTATGTGTCTTACCATTTTTTTAACCATTTTTAAGTTGTCACAGAAGTAGGCTGACATCCCTAGCCACCCCTTTAAAATGTTGGTTCCCTGGATTTGCATGGTGATGCTCAGCTTGAGTTGCATAATTTAAAATAAGTATGCAGGTCAGGATGTGATTTTTACTTCTTCCAGCTTAGCAAATAAAGTTAATAGACACTTAATCAGCATGACAGCTAGGCAGCTAGCATTTTCCAGATTTAGACTGCTATTGGCACTCATGAGGCTAGGTTCACACCTGCACTACAACGCACGACACCCGGGACGCACATCCCGGGTGTTGTGCGGTCCTGCACAATGCAGGCAGTGATTGCCGCGCGGCCCCATTGATTTCAGTGGGTTGACATCCGCACGGCAATCGCAAAAAAAGGTACAAGCACCTTTTTTTTTGCGATGCACGACGCGTGGCTGTTTTAGCCGCAATTGTGGTCGGAAGCACGGATGGAATCGCGGCGGGAACCCAGCACGGACGGAATCGCGCCGGGAACCCGTGCGATCTGCCCGGTGCGACTGGGGATGCCATTAGAAAATAATGGCACCCACAGCACGATCGGTTCAAACTTTGGCGACTCCTGACCGCACGGAATCGTGCACAATTGTCGCACGGTGAGGTGTCGCCTGGGTGTGAACCTAGCCTGACAGATTTTTCTTGTTGTGATAGTGAATAGCATATTTTATTCGTTGTACATTGCTCCTTTTTGGTACAGTTTGACAGCTTATACATTACACGTTGTCAGGCCAGGGTAGGGTAAGCACAGTGCTGTTTAATGGAGTAACTGGATAGGAAGTAAGCAGCGCTTTATTTAGGAAAAACTTTCATTCCTATGAACTTACATTTTTGGGGATATATTCATACCTTCTGTGCCATTCACCGGCAGGCTTATTTGGGAAGTAGTAGAGTAGTAGTAAACCAAGATCAGTGCATTTCACGAATGTGAATGCAGTAAACTGACATCTGATTGCTAGATGTCTGTTAAAATTGCATATTGCACAGCCTCGGGGAATCACGCTTTTTTTTTTTTTTTTTTTTCTCAGTTTGCCCAAAATTACTTTTATAAAATGTTTTCAGCCTGATGTTTGCTTTAGCTGCTGTAGGGATAGATGGATAAATTAAAAGCAATCTGTGAGAATAATATGGAGACTTCCATTGCTGACCACCTAGCATTTTGGCTGCAGTGCTAATTCTGTCTTCATCATTTTGAGTGGCTGAGCTGGAACAGGTATGCAGTTAAGGAACCCTCACTTTATAGGCTGCATATATGCCTTGGATCAGTGGCTTGTTATGTCAGCCTGCGTATTTTTCTAAGCATCAGTTTTTCCTTTAATGTGCAGTTGAGGAGCCACTGAGTTCAGTGTAGTAACCAGAGAACATATTGGTTTACAAGAGTAACACATGTGAGCACCAGCTGTAATGTTTTGGGCTTGTTGGCTAACTGGCTTCTGATATAATTTTTTTATTCATAGTTATTGTTGTTACTGCTAAGAGCCACAAGTTGTCTCATCCTCCATTAGCCAAACATTGTCTGTGATTCCTAAATAAATGGTGGGAGATGTATTCGTGGCTTTAATTCAAATGTTTTGGGTTTTGTTTTGAATCTTTAGTGGCTCCGTAGTGTGGTTGCACTTCAGTGCAGCATATTGAAATACTTGTCTGCTAAGCAGATGCCATCCTGGGGGTCAGATGACGTTGATTCGTTGGATATCAAACCAGTTATTTCACCTGATGGTTCCGTTTCCAACTCTCACCAGCACGATGATGGAAAGCCCCAGTGTCCTTCATCTTTAGGACCGTGTCCTAACAGTCAGGCTACAGCTTTGCAGGAAGACGGTGCTTTTGTGGCGAAATCGCGCCTTTCCACCAGTTGTGGCGCCTCCAATGGACCTTCCGCGTCAGAGTCTAAATCCAACGGGCCTCATGCTTTCAGTGTTAGCCCAAGTCCCACGGAACAATTGACTGATCACCAAAGGCTAACTGGAACTAGTGGTACTATTTCTGTACTTCCCCAGCGACCAACAAGGCCCAGATCAGGAACTCCGCCCACAGCAACTGTTCTCCCAAATCATGTGAAGACAGAGAGCACAACGGGGTCCGCACTCTGTGCTCAGAGACTTTCTGTGCCTCTTATGACGCCTCCCAATTCCTGTTCCAGTCAAGAGATTTCAAGCACTTTGTCACGAAAACATACCCAAATGCAACCTGGACCTTTGCTCGGTCAACATGACTCTAGACCTGTGGGGTCACCACTGTCTGGCACCAGGGCACTTACACCTCCACAGGCGGTCAGTATTGATCTCACATCTGCAGCTCCTGGTGCGTCCAGACTTTGTGCAGCAGCTCCAACTGCAGGTGAGTTTTATAGTGTGCACAAGCATTTAGTTATAAGAATCCTTAAGTGCGTAAATATGTTGAAAACATGTTAATGTTTTTTTTGTTTAGACCTAACATGAATTTTAGCGTCCTAAACCAGAATGGTGCTGGCAGAACGTCAACACAATAACCAAGGTCCCTCACATCTTACATACTATAGTGCTGAATTTGTACTCCATTTGTTTAAATTCATATGTAAAAGTTCTGCATAAGATCAGACACAGTCCATTGCAATCCATCAGAATTCAGCTAATATGGTTTTGGCACATTAAAATAAAAGCTGGTGTTCTTTTCACATTTTGGTGTGCTTGCTGCGGGCCATTTTACAGAAAATCTGTTGAGAACACAATTGAAATGCACATGACTCCTTTTAACTAGTGCGAAATGCTCCCAGATATTTTAGTGTGCACTGCAGTTGCCTTCACATGCAAGATTAACAGTAGAGTATATACAAAGATGCACCTATGTACTGGAATCGTATATGAACCTTTTTAAAATGTGAACACTGGCCTGTGAAAAATTTACTCCTTTGTACGGTAAAGCCTCCTGCGTTAAACCCAGGAAAAGTTATCTAGGAAGTAGAAACAACTTATGTTTGCCAGATCACCTTCTCCTGGGTTAAGACACATTTATATGCCTTGAAGTACCAGGCTAAACAATCCCAGTATGCAGAACTTTCTGGTTATGCACCTAGACGCTGCTAAACGTCTAGGTGTGCGCTCAGTCATAGCAAAGCATTGCATGATTTCAGGTGCATATTTAGAAATGCGCTCCAAATGCACCCTCTTCGGCGCTAGGCTTCGGGGCATTTTTACAAGTACTTGTCAAAATGCCCTGTATCGGGCCCGATTACGATGCTAGCATCGGTATCGGGACATCCCTACCCGGAAGCATATGTTTTAATTCATGTGTGTATGGGGACTTAAACTGCACAGCTAGTTGAAAAATGTCATCAGCACACCAAATTGATGATTACAGCAAAGTGTTCATTTATTGACGTATGCTGTCGCATTATGCAAGCGCTTTTGGGACCCGCAGGCTCCCCTTCATCGGGCTCAGTCATGTCTGAGCCTGATGAAGGGGACCCTGCATGGCCCCGAAAGCGCTTGTATAATGAGACAGTATACGTCAATAAATGAACACTTTGCTGTAATCATCGATTTGGTGTGCCGATGACATTTTTCAACTACTGTATGTACATGATGAGGCACCATCTGCAGTCATTTCAAGCACCCGCCTATGTATCCATATGGGAATCCCGGTAAGGAGTGCAGCAAGCATCTTGTTTCTTGTCAAACTGCAAAGCAGTGCTTTTGCTTATAATGTAGCCCTCCGCCGCATATATTTGCCGCCTTTTGCTCCATTCAGTCTCTGTGAGTAAATGAAGGTCATGTGTAAGCTATGACTCGGACAACTTGTAATTTATACAGGACTTTCCTTTGCTATAGACTCCTTGTGTAGCTCACTCCTGTGATGGACTACCATCTCACATTTTGTTTACTCGTTTGTACTGAGATTGTAGTCCATCACAGGAGTGAGTTTGGCGCGGTGGCTGCTTTACAACACACACAGGGACCATGGGGAACAAAAGTAGTCACCCTCCAGAAGGAAGGACAGTGTCACCACCAATTCAGAGATGATTTGAGGACCTACAGCCGAGTGATACACAAATAAGATACATTTTTATTAATAGTTAATGTACTTGAATACATTTTTGAGAACTAACTTTTGAGTTTAGTGTCACTTTAAGCTCTAAAGTATTTCATCTAAAGCAATATGCTTCTCTGCGCAGGTAAGCTTAGAATCTATGCTGGACTGATGCATACATCAGCTTTTACTTGAATAGAATATATTATCTGTTTATAAAATATCCTCATTAATTAGTCTTTTTCTTTTTTGTCACTTTAATGTCTTACATTTCTAGCATCTGTCATTGTTTACAAACTGTTAAATATTTTGGCATCAAAGTGATTGATGTACCCAAGTGAGCATGGGTACATCAATCACTTTGATATAGAAATAATAAAATGACAGATACTTTCTCATGGGGAATACACTAGGCAGTCGTTTCCCTTTGTCACAAGCCCCTGTGAACTTTCCAATGCAATATACGGAGATAATGTACTCCAAAGACAGAGGCTCAGCTCCCAGCAAATGGTTACTGAGAGTTAGGACTTATGTCTTAGAAGATCTAACCTTTCCCCACTCTATCCAAAAGGCCAACTAATAGTTAAAGCGTAATTCAATTGTTTATTGCAGCTTATCGTTCATTAGATGTGGTGGCTCCTTTATGTTCCCCTGGTGGTCCTACTAGGAAAATGCTCCTGTAAGAAGGTGACATCGCTCACTCACCCTACTTGTATCTATGGAGAAGCAGCATTGTCACCTTAGGCCGCTTGCTTAATTTGGACTACAAACACCTCCTCCTCTCCATTAGAGGGGAGTTATTTAATCAGCGTTTCTCAGCCTATTTTCAGTCATGGCACCCTTTTAAGAGTATGCATAATCTCAAGGCACCCCAACCTAAAATGTCACCCCATTCAAAATACCCAAAAAAGTGGGTTCCCACCTTCACATCAAAGTGGCCCCCTTCAAATCCCCATTCACATCAGAAGCCCCACTTTCATTTCAGAGTTCCCCCTTTACATTAGGAGCCCCCTTCACATCAGTCTTCTTTCCTCACTTCACATTACAGTGACACTACCACAAAATTTTGAGGCCCCATGAGGAGGCCAGGAGACATAACAGTGTTCCACGGCACCCTGGTTAAGCAAGGCTGTTGAAGATCACAAGATAGCCAGGAAAGATAATAACATTGTTTGATATATATCAGTACAGTACACAGGAAGTTACAAGGATGCTTGTGGTAGCATCTCCATAGAAATCCCAGGTCCATCCTACTGTGTCACTTAATGATTAGTCTCACTGACCAAAACTGAGTTGGGAGGGGACAGTGCTGAAGTTGATATTTAGAGATCGCCCTGTGTTTTGGGCTCCTGTTGCACACTGCTGGTTAAACACGGGGCATGTTTAGGTACCTGCTATTGAGGTTTAGTGCCAGTTTACAAACTTTACAATAAGTGCAGGTTTACTTAAAAGGAGAACTATGGGGTTAAGGCTTTTCCCCATAGTTCTCAGGGTAACGGGAGGAAACAAACTAGCGTCCTCCCGTCACCCTAGGCTCAGTATACCACGAGCTGTAGCTCGCGGTATACTGAGACGCTGAAGCAGATCCCGACAATTATGCGTGACTGACAGCTGGCTCTGCCTATCTAGAGGCAGAGCCAGCTGTACCCTCCCCCCGTCCGTTCCGCCAGTCAGCGCTGGAGGATTGGAGCGGGGAGGGGGGAATCCAGCCCCTCCCCTGTCACAGCAGAGAGCCGTGACAGGATCGAGAGGTGAGCGAACGCCGTTATGTGTTGGCTCACCTCCCGATTTACTGAGCCGACCTGTGACAGTCTCATTGTCACAGGTCGGCTAGAACTATGAGGTGAGTGAAAAGCACTCGCCTCGTAGTTCTCCTTTTAATATGCTGTCATAAGGAAGTACATGGGCTGCTATTCCTGGCCTCCTTTTTTAAAAATGCTTATTTCCTGCCTGTCAACTTAAAGTCTAACTAACTTTTACATTTGGATTGAGTGGTCAGAAGTTAGAACCTCTGAGGTTTTTGTTTTTTTTTGTTTTTTTTTTGTTTTTTTGGGATCTCTAATCAAAAAAGGCAATTTTTATTTTGTGCAGTTTTTAATACGTTACCTCCATTTTGATAGTCTAATACAACAGTTTGATTCAAGCTTTCAGTTTTAATTTTAAAATACACGATTGAGACAAAATGAAGAAAATCCACACATATTGTCAAGAAATGCTAAACTTTCCTGTGAGGTTTTTATTGGGGACTGTGTTTTCAGATGGCTCCAAAATTCTAAGGTTGCCACCGGAGCAGGAATAAAGGGCAAATCTTCCAATGGAGACACTTGTTTCTGTGGCTGGCTTATTAAAAAAAACCTGTCGGCAGTTTTAATTGCTCTCCTGCTTTACTGTCTGTCTAATTGTGGTGATGAGTGGGGATAACAAGTTGTTAATTGAGGTCCTGTGTGACTTTGCTTGCCTGCTTTATACATTCTTATTTAAAACAGCAGACTATCAAATCACTAATAATCTCATTACTATCTATAGATTTTTCTACAGTGCTTGAGATTTTTGCCTAAACACCTTCCAACAGTCTTTGTTTTAGTGATTTACTTCTAAATTTTAAATGCTGCCAACATGGCGGATCCTGACACGCACAAGAGCGGCCTTTGGTTTAGCATGGTTGGCTGTTGTGAACGAGCCATATTTTTGCTGTAATTTGGGACTTTTTCCTTGGAAGTGTGCACTGATGGCATGACCTGAAATAAATTGTAGTTTTAACCCAGGTCTATTCGATTAGATGGATGGATTTCTGATGCCAGTTCTCCATCCTCCTAGACAAATGTCCAGCAGCAATGTTCCTCTCTAAAATAGCCATTGACATATAAAGTAGTTATTCGTAGATCTTGGGTTAATTCCACTTGCCTTCTAGAGCAGATGTACTTTTCTTCAAGGCATACCTTCATTTAAATTGAGCCAAAACAGATCGTAGCCCCATGCTTTGGCAAACTCTTTACTGATACATGTATCTTCATGGTTTCCCTTAAAATAACTCCAAAACTAGAGTGGAGTCTGTCTTTTGGGGTATCTATGGTGCCAAATCCCCAGTGACAATGTTAAAAAAAATTTGTAGGGGGACTATCTCTTTAAGCCTATTGTTTTAATTTATCTTTTCACACAGTATAGTTGCATATCTGTCTCACAATATAACATGCTCATGATTTCTTTTTACAGATGGAAAAGTCCGGCCTAGTACTTTATTGCTGGATGGTGCTACAACCAGTCCTTCATCCTGCATGGTAAACTCTTCATCTATGATGGAACTTACAAATTCTTTAAGAACACTGATGGATGGGAACGGAGGTAGGTGACCTGACTTGTCGTGATTTCTTGGACAGTGTTTCATGTTGGCTCTGTATGTGTGAGTGCCATTTACAGGCCTGCATTTGACAAACGTCCTTAGATCGGCTGAGATCCTGTCATAAAGGTCCTTGTGCAGGTACTTCTGTTAATGACAACATTCTGGCCATATCCCTGTGCTTTTACGCAATGACACTGTCGGATGGGCTTCCGATGGTGCTAACGAGCTGCTGTGCTGACACATATTGCACAGGCATGTTTCTTGTCACCTTAAGGAAACCTACCCCGATAAATGAAACAATAGATAAAAAAAGAGTATATTATGACACAAGGAAATTTATACATAAACGAAATGTTTGCTACTAGGACTTCATGTACTTTGTGAATGATGTTACACAAGCAACCTCTATAACTTCCTTCTCTTTCATTGCTCTTTGTATAAAACGCCAAGCATTGCAGCCAGTCCTACAGTTTGTTCTGATCTAGGTTTTCATTTTCTTTAGTTTCTCAGTAGGTACACTTCATCTTTAGCTAACTCAAACTAGCATTTTGTTAGTTACCTTTTATATACATGTATGTAAAGTGTTTATTTTCTGTAACTTTAATGTTGCACTCACAAGTTGCCTATTAACATTGTAGAGATCCAGATAAACATGTTGGATGACAAACTGGTGAAGTTTTTAGCCATGCAAAGAATCCAGGAGATTTTCTCATCAAAAGACCATCCTGTATCAAGTGCCAGCCAATTGCAGCCAGCTCCTTCTCTTGGACATCAAGCGGAAGGTGGGAATTGTGTATTGCATTAAGTATGGTTGTTGATTGTTATGTTTTATCTAGGAGTTTTTCATGCAAAGCCCCAGTAGCTTCCAATAACCTAAGCAGCATTTAAAAATCTTCTGTCGGTCACCTGCGCCCCCACTGTAACCTGCTGGACAAACTCCCTATATTCTGCATAGCTCCTGTCCTGTTCAAGAATGAGCCAGCCGCACTTACGCTGTGCGCGCTCTTTCCCATTGCAGCTCAACTCTGGGGAGAGGACAGAGTACACTGTGTATGCGAGGAGCTCTGATCAAGAATGACGCATGCTCCTGTGATGCTAAGGTATGCGTCTAACTGCTGACTCCTCTTGGAAACAGGATACAGTTAAACAGGATATCGGTAGTTTTTTCTGACAGGTTTCGATGGGGGCGCAGACGGCCTAGAGGGATGACAGATGTATTGCCGAAGATTTTTTATAAGCTGCTTAGTTTATTGGTACTTACTGACTACCTTCTTGACTGCATAGGTCATTTTTTTTTTAAAGTGTAAACTAACCCTTTACCTCCATCTGTGCAGATTTGCTTTGACAGAGGAGTGATAAAGCCTGATTACTGCTCTACAACAAAGCAGTAAAGTATAATCACTATTCTATACAACAAAGCAGAAGTGCAGACTGCAATTATAAGAAGCATATATACAGTGGCTTGCAAAAGTATTCACCCCCTTGGCGTTTTTCCTATTTTGTTGCCTGGAATGAAAATGGATTTTATGGGGGTTTGTATCATATGATTTACACAACTTGCCTACCACTTTGAAGATGCAAAATCTCTTGGGGTACGTCTCTATAAGCTTGGCACATCTAGCCACTGGGATTTTTTACCATTCTTCAAGACAAAACTGCCCCAGCTTCTTCAAATTGGATGGGTTTCGCTGGTGTACAGCAATCATGCCACAGATTCTCAATTGGATTGAAGTCTGGGCTTTAACTAGGCCATGCCAAGACATTTAAATGTATCGCCTTAAACCACTTGAGTGTTGCTTTAGCAGTATGCTTAGGGTCATTGCTCTGCTGGAAGGTGAACCTTCGTCCCAGTCTCAAATCTCTGGCAGACTAAAACCGGTTTCCCTCAAGAATTTCCCTGTATTTAACTCCATCCATCATTCCTTCAATTCTGACCAGTTTGTCAGTCCCTGCCGATGAAAAACATCCCCACAGCATGATTCTGCCACAACCATGCTTCACTGTGGAGATGGTGTTCTTTGGGTGACAAGGTCTTGGGTTTGCACTAGACATAACGTTTTTTCCTGAAGGCCAAAAAGCTTAATTTTAGTCTCATCTGGCCAGAGTACCTTCTTCCATATGTTTGGTGAGTCTCCCACATGCCTTTTGGCAAACAGCAAATGTGTTTGCTTTATTTTTTTCTATAAGCAGTGGCTTTTTTCTGCTCTCTCTTCCATGAAGACCAGCTCTGTGGAGTGTACGGCTTACAGTGGTATTATGGACAGATACTCCGATCTCCGCTGTGGAGTTTTGCAGCTCCCTCAGGGTTATCGTTGGTCTCGTTGTTGCCTCTCTGATTAAAGCCCTCCTTGCCTGGTCCGTGAGATTTAGTGGGCGTCCCTCTCTTGGCAGGTTTGTTGTGGTGCCATATTCTTTCCATTTTTTTAATAATGGATTTAATGGTGCTCAATGGGATGTTCAAAGTTTTGGATAATTTTTTTTTTTTATAACCCAACTCTGATCTGTACTTCTCCACAACTTTGTCCCTGACCTGTTTGGAGAGGCTCTTTGGTCCTTATGTTGCTGCTTGCTTGGTGTTGCAGACTCTGGGGTCTTTCAGAATAGGTGTATACATACTGAGATCATGTGACACTTAGATTGCACACAGTTGGTCTTCAACTAATTATGTGACTTCTGAAGGTAATTGGATGCAGGAGATCTAATGTAGGGACTTCCTAGCAAAGGGGGTGAATATATATGCACGCCACAATTTTAAAAACATTTTTAAAACAAGTAAATTTTCTTGATTTCACCACCATTTTGGACTATTTTGTGTATGTCCATTACATGTAATCCAAATAAAAATCCATTTAATTCCAGGATCTAATGCAATAAAATAAGAAAAATGTCGGGGGGGGTGAATAATTTTGCAAGCCACTGTAGGTGCTTTTTGTATACCTAAATAATTTCACACTCTGACTCGTGTTTTCGCTAAGGCTGATTTGCAATGGGCTGTAGTCTTAACCATGGTTTGTTTTTGCCACCTTGGTGTAGTCTTCTTTTTTTTTTTTTTTTTTTTTTTACCCAAAGCGCTTGATTTTGTTTTTCCCCCTTGGTTGTTTTTTTTTTTTTTTTTTTTTTTTTTTTTTTACCCAAAGGCCCTGAGCTGTTTATTCCTTACCACTGTCCCTGGTCTCAGTATCTCCCTTCCTTTTGAACCCTCCATTGTCCCCTCGGGAACACACTGCTACATATGTAGAGAGGAGTTTCTCAGCCAAATTGCTGACTTCTTGAGAAGACTCTGAACCTTTTGAAAGCAGAGGTTGCAAGCAAGCCTCCTCTGCTTCCCCTCACAGCTGCACCACTTTCTGACTAGTTGGAGGAGGATGATTCCTATCCTACTTCATAGGATCTCTTCCATGTTGCGATTTAGTATCTGCTGAGGTCTCTCCTAAACTTAAGGATAGTGTTGCAATTCTTGTTTACGTGGTTTGCGAATGCTTTCACTTAGAGCAACCTGCGTGGGCTTGTTCTAATACTTGGCTCGGCAATACCCGGTTGGGGAGGGTTTCCTTAAGATATAGACTGTCGCTGTTGTGTACCCAGCCATCTCCTGCCTCAACAAAACCCTTACAGTTCCTGTAGAGAGTGTCTCTGTTTTCAAGGACCCTGTTTATGGTAGTCTCCTTTGAGACCGTTTCCGTTTTCCCAGTCTCATTCCAGAGCTCTACAACGCAACATTGTTGTCGTGGGACAGGTCAGTCAAGTCCCTGGAAAGATCAGTTTGCTTGGCACCGAGGACCTGGTGTTCCCTGGCTTGGCCACTCAGGAATCTCTCTCTGAATATGAATGTATTTCCTTCCTGTTTGAAATTCTCATGGCTGATGCCAGACTGCCAGCCTGGGAGGTGTCTTGGGCACCCTGCAAGTGCAGGGAACTTGGTCATTGGAGATTCATGTCTCTTGAATAATATCCTGGGTCTCTACAATGTCAGACTATCCTCCTGGAAGGTCGGACATCCAGTTCGATTTCAGTCTGACTACACCACGATTGGGGCATACATCCACTGTTAGGGTGGAACTAAAAGTCTTGCTGCAGCAAGAGAAGTAGGTCGTATATGTTCCACACATTGTCAGTTGACAGGCAGACTTCCCCAGCTGGCAGCGCCTGCACCAGGGTCCCTACACCCGGAGCTTTACCAGACCCTAGAAAATGGTCTGACCTTCAAGGTGGGAGGCACAGGAATAGGGAAGCAAAAAGGGCGTTTTACACATGAGGGAGAAGACTTTGCAGTCTGTTCATTTAGGCATCTTCTGGTGTGGAAGGTTGGGAACGTTGTCCCTTTTAAAGCCAAATATGTAGAATAATAAAAATCTAATAAATATTACACCCAAATGTATGTGTGAATAACTATAATAAAGATCCTAAATCATTAAAAACATAAAGTATAATATCAATAAATTTATTGATATATAATATCAATAAACCATTACATCCCACTAGGGTTCACGTAAAACATAAAATAAAATAGAAAAGCATAATTGAGTATAGTGAATACATAATCATGGTTGTTGGTTGTGTGCGTTCTTATGTTTATTTAGAGATTAAAGTGTTTAAGATTTAGCATGCTCTGGTTATTCATGCGTACATTTGGGTGTAACCTTTATTAGAATTTATTTAAGAGATTAGCATGGCACCTTAGTTCTTAATAGCTAACAATTTTTTTTTAGATATTTATACTGCAGCTGGAGGGTAACGTAGAGCAATAGCATATTGGTCCAGCACTTTAACCAAAGTATCCAATGCATGTGCACAGACATGAGACCAATCCGAGACATGAGCCAGGAAGCCTCCAGCAGACCGTTACCACGGAAATTTTAAGCTGCAGCCATTTGCTCCATGTGTTCTATTATCAATCGGTCGGCCACAGCAGTGGTGAGATCTTTCTTAAGGGATATCGATCAGCCAGCCATAGTTTAGCATAGTAAAGTCAGAGCCAGGATGGGGTGACAGGGTTCTAGAAAGGGCTTTGCACAGCTTATCAGTTGGGACCTTTAAGGACTGTAGCATCTTCTACGGATATAGTAGTTGCTTTGTTAAGGGAACACTACCCTATGCAGAGTTTAGTTGGGGCACTTTTGTACAAAATCTTTACAAAATGGGTACAAGGCTAATAAGCTCTTGGTTGGAGAAAACAGCTGGCCAGGGTGTCTCTTAAGCACGACAGAGGAACTTGGAACTGTGGGTGCAGTGGAAACGTTTTTGAGGCATTGGGAACTCTAAAGGAACCAAAACTTGAAACAACTGTTGACTTTACACTGGAATCTGTGCCTGATCGATTTCAGGGGTTTATAACCCTGATTTTGGCATTCTGGTAGGAAGAATGGTTATCCTGGGCTTGCCTACACTTCTTTGTTTTCCAGTATCCAACGAGAGAGAATGATTGCCCTTTCAGCTGTTCTTATATCCATGTACATCTGACAGGGCTGTCTGGTAACAATCACCAACAAGCTCAAGCATTTGGTTAAAGCTGGGATCATGTAAATGAGCATGAGTGGTGTGTCCTTGAATTCTCCAGAGGAAGGACCACCCTCTATAAGGGAAAATTCCTTCTACGGGGTAAGGCTGATGCATTGAGAGCTTTTGATCAGCAATTCTTCTGTAGGATTAAACATCTCACTGCATCTAGCTTTACAAATTACTTCTGCCCTAATATATACTTAAGCGATATCTCTGTTATATACCAGATGCCTGATCTGGATGGTTTATTGAATGTCATCTCATGTCTGTGGGTAGCTTTACTGTGGCTGTGAGCATGGCTTATTCCTAACCCAAGGGAACCAAGTTTAGCTTATAGACTAAATGATGCATTGATATTTGAATTTGCTTGAACAATTTTTTACATAAAATCCATGTGTTTTATAAAGGTTGTTTTGTTTTTTATATGGTAGCGAAGTCCAACTGTAGCCAAACCCTTTTTTCTTTTAGTTATAACTAGGACTGTCAAACTTTTGTGCCCAGTTGGTTTGATTTACCCCCAATTTCCTAGTGACACCCGTGACCTGGTTTTACTATGTTTGGGTTTCTTTAAATTGTGTATGATTTGCGTTTAGTTTTTGCAAGCTAGCTTAGCAGTGTTATTTGCATCACGCTGTAAAACAATCTTTGTAAAGTGTTCCTATAAAATGTTTTTATACAGCTCAGAAAAGAGACGTTCAGGCAAGAGCAGTCTTCTACCCCTTGATGATGGGCGTCGGGGCTCCCGTCAACATGTGTTACCGCACTCTCTACATTGGCACAGGTGCGTTTCTTTCTTTTCTTATCAGCTATCGTTGTGTATAGTGTTTTTTTTCTCATCAACTCAAACGTGCTATTATCTGCGCCTGTGCACTTAATTTTGGCTCAGAAATCAGCCACAATTCGAGTCCTGTGTATAACCAGCCTAATAGGCACAACACTTGGCACTTTTTTTTTTTTTTTATATGAAACTCTTGCATTGCATATGATTTTCTGCACACAGCCTACCTTAAAGAAGTAGTATTTCATCCACTTGTAGTGTGTGTGTTGTATGCACACACACACACACACACCTCTATATACCGGTATATCCATATAAAGCATTTCCGGTGTGAGCCAAGAAATTTCCATTCCAGGAAGTACTCTGCAGGACAATTTCTGGATTTTCTTCCAGTCTGGATCAACATTTGGCTTAGAGTGCCATCAAGGTTCAAGTCTCACCCCTAGCTGTTCTTTTTCAAAGACCACTTGCCTCACTCCTTAGGCTGGGTTCACACCTGGGCGTACGGAATATGCGCGTTTCGTGCGATTTGCGGCAAAAGAAAAGCGCAACAAACACTCGTTTACAAAGGCTATCCGGCTGTATCCTAATAGATACGCGCGGAGAATACACCCCAAAGAAGCTCCTGCACTTCTTTGGCCGTTTTTCAGCGCGTTCCTACGCGCTGAAATACGCCCAGGTGGGAACCATGCCCATAGGCAATTATTGGTTTTCACATGTTGAGCGTTTTACAGCGCGTAGGAACGCACTGTAAAACGCCCAGGTGTGAACCAGGCCTAAGTAAAAAGCCTTTATGTTCCGCAGTGAAACTGGGATCTCAGCTTGGTTCTGTCAGTTCTTCAGAAACCTCCTGAGATATTTTTCTGGCTACTCCAAGGGTGCCCATACACCTTACGATTATCGTACGATTTTCGTATGCGATCGACTTTTCGGCCGATAATCGTATGTGTGTGTATTGCAGTGTCCGACCGACAGTACTGTACAATCGTACGACTTTTGACGGTCAAGCATGTTTGAAAACTTTGCTAGATCGTACGATTGTCGTAAGGTTGCTGGCATTTCCGTCCGTCAAAAGTCGTACGATCTACACTGCGCTTGTGCTAATGAAGATACGGCATATCAATTACCGCATTTCATCCACGTGCTTTTCGTTATTTACGGCTAAATTAATCTTGCGATCATCGGTGCAGGATGGGGCTGCCGTACGAAAATCGTACGACTATTCGATCATCGGAGGAAAAGTTTCGCCCGATAATCGTAAGGTGTATGGGCACCTTTAAAGGTGCCCATACACCTTACGATAATCGTATGCGATCGACTTTACGTACGACAATCGTAACATGTGAACGTAGTGCCCGACCTTTTTTTTTCCCCCCTTTGTTTGTTCTTTTTTTTTTTTTTTTTTTTTTTTTTTTACCCAAAGGCCCTGAGCTGTTTATTCCTTACCACTGTCCCTGGTCTCAGTATCTCCCTTCCTTTTGAACCCTCCATTGTCCCCTCGGGAACACACTGCTACATATGTAGAGAGGAGTTTCTCAGCCAAATTGCTGACTTCTTGAGAAGACTCTGAACCTTTTGAAAGCAGAGGTTGCAAGCAAGCCTCCTCTGCTTCCCCTCACAGCTGCACCACTTTCTGACTAGTTGGAGGAGGATGATTCCTATCCTACTTCATAGGATCTCTTCCATGTTGCGATTTAGTATCTGCTGAGGTCTCTCCTAAACTTAAGGATAGTGTTGCAATTCTTGTTTACGTGGTTTGCGAATGCTTTCACTTAGAGCAACCTGCGTGGGCTTGTTCTAATACTTGGCTCGGCAATACCCGGTTGGGGAGGGTTTCCTTAAGATATAGACTGTCGCTGTTGTGTACCCAGCCATCTCCTGCCTCAACAAAACCCTTACAGTTCCTGTAGAGAGTGTCTCTGTTTTCAAGGACCCTGTTTATGGTAGTCTCCTTTGAGACCGTTTCCGTTTTCCCAGTCTCATTCCAGAGCTCTACAACGCAACATTGTTGTCGTGGGACAGGTCAGTCAAGTCCCTGGAAAGATCAGTTTGCTTGGCACCGAGGACCTGGTGTTCCCTGGCTTGGCCACTCAGGAATCTCTCTCTGAATATGAATGTATTTCCTTCCTGTTTGAAATTCTCATGGCTGATGCCAGACTGCCAGCCTGGGAGGTGTCTTGGGCACCCTGCAAGTGCAGGGAACTTGGTCATTGGAGATTCATGTCTCTTGAATAATATCCTGGGTCTCTACAATGTCAGACTATCCTCCTGGAAGGTCGGACATCCAGTTCGATTTCAGTCTGACTACACCACGATTGGGGCATACATCCACTGTTAGGGTGGAACTAAAAGTCTTGCTGCAGCAAGAGAAGTAGGTCGTATATGTTCCACACATTGTCAGTTGACAGGCAGACTTCCCCAGCTGGCAGCGCCTGCACCAGGGTCCCTACACCCGGAGCTTTACCAGACCCTAGAAAATGGTCTGACCTTCAAGGTGGGAGGCACAGGAATAGGGAAGCAAAAAGGGCGTTTTACACATGAGGGAGAAGACTTTGCAGTCTGTTCATTTAGGCATCTTCTGGTGTGGAAGGTTGGGAACGTTGTCCCTTTTAAAGCCAAATATGTAGAATAATAAAAATCTAATAAATATTACACCCAAATGTATGTGTGAATAACTATAATAAAGATCCTAAATCATTAAAAACATAAAGTATAATATCAATAAATTTATTGATATATAATATCAATAAACCATTACATCCCACTAGGGTTCACGTAAAACATAAAATAAAATAGAAAAGCATAATTGAGTATAGTGAATACATAATCATGGTTGTTGGTTGTGTGCGTTCTTATGTTTATTTAGAGATTAAAGTGTTTAAGATTTAGCATGCTCTGGTTATTCATGCGTACATTTGGGTGTAACCTTTATTAGAATTTATTTAAGAGATTAGCATGGCACCTTAGTTCTTAATAGCTAACAATTTTTTTTTAGATATTTATACTGCAGCTGGAGGGTAACGTAGAGCAATAGCATATTGGTCCAGCACTTTAACCAAAGTATCCAATGCATGTGCACAGACATGAGACCAATCCGAGACATGAGCCAGGAAGCCTCCAGCAGACCGTTACCACGGAAATTTTAAGCTGCAGCCATTTGCTCCATGTGTTCTATTATCAATCGGTCGGCCACAGCAGTGGTGAGATCTTTCTTAAGGGATATCGATCAGCCAGCCATAGTTTAGCATAGTAAAGTCAGAGCCAGGATGGGGTGACAGGGTTCTAGAAAGGGCTTTGCACAGCTTATCAGTTGGGACCTTTAAGGACTGTAGCATCTTCTACGGATATAGTAGTTGCTTTGTTAAGGGAACACTACCCTATGCAGAGTTTAGTTGGGGCACTTTTGTACAAAATCTTTACAAAATGGGTACAAGGCTAATAAGCTCTTGGTTGGAGAAAACAGCTGGCCAGGGTGTCTCTTAAGCACGACAGAGGAACTTGGAACTGTGGGTGCAGTGGAAACGTTTTTGAGGCATTGGGAACTCTAAAGGAACCAAAACTTGAAACAACTGTTGACTTTACACTGGAATCTGTGCCTGATCGATTTCAGGGGTTTATAACCCTGATTTTGGCATTCTGGTAGGAAGAATGGTTATCCTGGGCTTGCCTACACTTCTTTGTTTTCCAGTATCCAACGAGAGAGAATGATTGCCCTTTCAGCTGTTCTTATATCCATGTACATCTGACAGGGCTGTCTGGTAACAATCACCAACAAGCTCAAGCATTTGGTTAAAGCTGGGATCATGTAAATGAGCATGAGTGGTGTGTCCTTGAATTCTCCAGAGGAAGGACCACCCTCTATAAGGGAAAATTCCTTCTACGGGGTAAGGCTGATGCATTGAGAGCTTTTGATCAGCAATTCTTCTGTAGGATTAAACATCTCACTGCATCTAGCTTTACAAATTACTTCTGCCCTAATATATACTTAAGCGATATCTCTGTTATATACCAGATGCCTGATCTGGATGGTTTATTGAATGTCATCTCATGTCTGTGGGTAGCTTTACTGTGGCTGTGAGCATGGCTTATTCCTAACCCAAGGGAACCAAGTTTAGCTTATAGACTAAATGATGCATTGATATTTGAATTTGCTTGAACAATTTTTTACATAAAATCCATGTGTTTTATAAAGGTTGTTTTGTTTTTTATATGGTAGCGAAGTCCAACTGTAGCCAAACCCTTTTTTCTTTTAGTTATAACTAGGACTGTCAAACTTTTGTGCCCAGTTGGTTTGATTTACCCCCAATTTCCTAGTGACACCCGTGACCTGGTTTTACTATGTTTGGGTTTCTTTAAATTGTGTATGATTTGCGTTTAGTTTTTGCAAGCTAGCTTAGCAGTGTTATTTGCATCACGCTGTAAAACAATCTTTGTAAAGTGTTCCTATAAAATGTTTTTATACAGCTCAGAAAAGAGACGTTCAGGCAAGAGCAGTCTTCTACCCCTTGATGATGGGCGTCGGGGCTCCCGTCAACATGTGTTACCGCACTCTCTACATTGGCACAGGTGCGTTTCTTTCTTTTCTTATCAGCTATCGTTGTGTATAGTGTTTTTTTTCTCATCAACTCAAACGTGCTATTATCTGCGCCTGTGCACTTAATTTTGGCTCAGAAATCAGCCACAATTCGAGTCCTGTGTATAACCAGCCTAATAGGCACAACACTTGGCACTTTTTTTTTTTTTTTATATGAAACTCTTGCATTGCATATGATTTTCTGCACACAGCCTACCTTAAAGAAGTAGTATTTCATCCACTTGTAGTGTGTGTGTTGTATGCACACACACACACACACACCTCTATATACCGGTATATCCATATAAAGCATTTCCGGTGTGAGCCAAGAAATTTCCATTCCAGGAAGTACTCTGCAGGACAATTTCTGGATTTTCTTCCAGTCTGGATCAACATTTGGCTTAGAGTGCCATCAAGGTTCAAGTCTCACCCCTAGCTGTTCTTTTTCAAAGACCACTTGCCTCACTCCTTAGGCTGGGTTCACACCTGGGCGTACGGAATATGCGCGTTTCGTGCGATTTGCGGCAAAAGAAAAGCGCAACAAACACTCGTTTACAAAGGCTATCCGGCTGTATCCTAATAGATACGCGCGGAGAATACACCCCAAAGAAGCTCCTGCACTTCTTTGGCCGTTTTTCAGCGCGTTCCTACGCGCTGAAATACGCCCAGGTGGGAACCATGCCCATAGGCAATTATTGGTTTTCACATGTTGAGCGTTTTACAGCGCGTAGGAACGCACTGTAAAACGCCCAGGTGTGAACCAGGCCTAAGTAAAAAGCCTTTATGTTCCGCAGTGAAACTGGGATCTCAGCTTGGTTCTGTCAGTTCTTCAGAAACCTCCTGAGATATTTTTCTGGCTACTCCAAGGGTGCCCATACACCTTACGATTATCGTACGATTTTCGTATGCGATCGACTTTTCGGCCGATAATCGTATGTGTGTGTATTGCAGTGTCCGACCGACAGTACTGTACAATCGTACGACTTTTGACGGTCAAGCATGTTTGAAAACTTTGCTAGATCGTACGATTGTCGTAAGGTTGCTGGCATTTCCGTCCGTCAAAAGTCGTACGATCTACACTGCGCTTGTGCTAATGAAGATACGGCATATCAATTACCGCATTTCATCCACGTGCTTTTCGTTATTTACGGCTAAATTAATCTTGCGATCATCGGTGCAGGATGGGGCTGCCGTACGAAAATCGTACGACTATTCGATCATCGGAGGAAAAGTTTCGCCCGATAATCGTAAGGTGTATGGGCACCTTTAAAGGTGCCCATACACCTTACGATAATCGTATGCGATCGACTTTACGTACGACAATCGTAACATGTGAACGTAGTGCCCGACCGATAGTACTGTACAATCGTACTACTTGTGACAGTCAAGCATGTTTGAAAACTTTGGTCGATTGTACGATGTTCGCATGGTTGGTGGCGTTTCCGTCCGTCAAAAGTCGTACGATTAACACTGCGCGTGTGCAAACGAAAATAATTGCGGTCAATTACCGCAAGTCGTCCAGGTGGTTTTTTTTAACTACCGCTGATTGAACCTTTCGATAATCGGGGCAGGATGGGGCAGTCGTACGGAAATCGTACGACGGTTCGATCATCGGACGAAAAATGTTGTCCGATAATCGTAAGGTGTATGGCCACCTTTACTCACAAGGTTGCCTTTCTCGGTGTCATCACTTCTGTGAGGCAAGATTGAGTTGGCAGCCTTAACCTGTGAAGATCCTTTTTTTTTGTCCAAGAAGTTTATGGTTAACATGATTGTTTGAAACTGTAATGCAGCTGTATGGCCTGATTATGCATGTACACATGATGTTTGGGTCTTCAAGACTTTCAAACCAATTTACATCTACCTCCTATCTCTCACGTATATAATGGGTTTTGTATCTTTTTGTTGCACTGATGTTATTATGTTGTGTTGGAAAACAATAATAAGTACCTTCAAAAAAAAGAAAACTGCCATAAGAGGAACACTTGAACTGCCAGTGCAAACCTCCACCTGCAAATCCTTGTTGCCTCAATGACGGGCTGGCCCTCAGGTCAGCGTCTCAAAGTATTTAACCCCTTCGTGACTGACGACGTACAGTGTACGTCGCCAGCATCGGGGCTGTTTAAAAAGACTCCCAGTGACTTTTGCCGCCGGGACTCTGTTTAAACTTGTAGAGCCGACTGTCGGCCTAAAGTACCGCAGCGCTGAATACTGAAAAATGGCCTGGATGGGAAGGGGGTTTAACACCGCGGATGTCAACTGGTTAAATAAAATGTAAATAAAATAAATGTAATAATAAAAAAAAAATTAAGTCCCCCGCCACCGCGAGCACGCGCGTCGCCACGAAAACACGCGTCTGGTGCGCCTACGTATGAAAACGACGAACGCGCTACACATGTTGGGTATCGCCGCGCACGCCGGAGTGAGAGCAATAATTCTAGGGCCAGTATTTTGGGGTATCTCTAAATTGATGACCTGTGGGGGCTTTTAAAGCGTCTTTTATTGACTTTTTGGGGTACTGCAGTTTTTCGCCGTTTCACGGTCGCACGCAATCTGTAAACTGGGCATGTTGGGTATCGTTTTACTCGTTGTAACCTCATCTTTTATATTTCATTTAAAAAATGGGTAATTTGTTGTGTTTTGGGGCATTTAATTAAATTTGTCACTAAATTTTGGGGTTTAATAAGGAGTTGCGCTAATATTGCGCAACATAAAAATTTGCAACTACCACCATTTTATTCTATAGGGTCTTGGCATTCAGAAAATATATAATGTTGGGGGGTTTTAAGTAATTTTCCGGCCTAAAATGTGGAATATAACATGGGTACAAAAAATGAAAAAAAGTCCTCAGTCATGAAGGGGTTAAGCTAAAGGATCAGGACAGCCAAGCACTCAGTATTATTGAAATGAGCTCAGCAGTGGCAGCCAAGGAATTTTTCTCATTAAGGAATTCCTTTTAAGTGTTCTTTATATAATATTGAGGCCTAGCGTTTATTTTACCATAGCAGTCACTTCTAATATAGGGGCGCCGCGCGTGTGTTTCCTTATGAGTCACAGCCCTTGAGATTGGAGTATTCATTTGCCGATGCTTTCGTTTATTAGCTGCGATTTGAGGTACACTGTTATCCAATATGTCAGCATTACAAATTGTTTCTATCTGTTTCTGCTATTATGAAAGTACACAGTGTTTTCTGTATAACCCTTTGCTCCAGATACGTTCCTGATGCTTATAAAAAAGAAAAAAGTTCTGTCTGAGAAATGTGCAAATAAATGTCCTTCATTACAGTGAGAGTCTGTTCAGTGTGTGTTTCTCCTTCATACTTTAGGGGCAGACATGGACGTGTGCCTTACAAACTATGGTCACTGCAACTACGTGTCTGGCAAGCACGCCTGCATATTTTATGATGAAGTGAGTATAGATTTCATCTTGTAAATGGAGTATGTTTTGTGTTTCTCATCTGTCCAACTTGAAATGTCGGGGGGGGGTTTTAACATGCATTCCCAGGAAATACGTTCGGAAACGTACTGGGTGCTTGTTAGATGCACAGAATTTTGATTGAAAAATGAGCACAGAAGAGATTGGAAGGAACTGCAAACATTCAATAAATCACAGGTTTCAAATAAAGTATTTGAAGCACAAAGAACATAAATCAAGTTGGTCATTATGAAGGTGTGGTATTAACTGGCATGTCTAACTACACCTGGCTTTCTACTTTCAGATACTTGGTTGCATATAGGGTTGTTCAGATTGCCTGTCTGTCTGGGTCACAGCACACATTTTCTGAATATTTGATATATTCATGTGTCCTTTAAAGCAGAGCTCCAGGCATGGTGATTATGTATAAACAAATGTTGCCTCTGCTCAGGTGTAAGAAATGTCCAGCTAATAGTAATAGCTCTTGTACTTCAGCCTGCTCCAGATATGAGAGCTGCTGGTCTCAAGGTGCCCATACACCTTACAATAATCGTATGCGATTGCGTTTTCGTCCGATAATCGCAAGGTGTATGGGCAGTGTACAACCACAAATACTGTACAATTGTACGACTTTTGACTTTTTAAGCATGTTTGAAAACTTTGGTCGATCGTACGATTATTGCAAGGTTAGCGTTGTTTCCATACGTCAAAAATCATACATAGTATTTGAGGTTGAATAAAGACATAAGTCCATCATGTACAATCTACACTGCTCATGCGCAAACGAAAATACGTGCGGTTCATTACCACAGTTTGTCCAGGTGCTTTTCTTTAATTACGGCTAACTGAACCTTGCGATAATCGGGGCATAATGGGGCCGCCGTACGACGGTTCGATCGTCGGACGAAAAGTGTCGTCCGATAATCGTAAGGTATATGGCCAGCCTTTAGACTGAAACCCCAAATCTCTAGTAGCTGATTGTGTAAAGTCATAGTATAGTTCGATGGACATTGCTTCTACCTGAGCATAGGTAAAGTTTGTTCACACATAAGAACAGACAAAAATCACATTGCCTGGAGTTCTGCTTTAAAGGAACTAGTCACACAAAAAATGAGAGCCAGTTATTGCTGACATCTCCAAAGTAAAATCAAAGTTAGATCTCCTGACCAGCAGATTGGTTTGTGCTCCGTAAATCTGATATTAATGAAGCCAGAAGGCCTGAACGGGAGCTAGCATTTTATTCTTCTTGCCAAGGTTTTGTTGTACTGAGTGATGGTGAATCTAATTTTGTTTCCCCCTCTGCATTCCTCACTTACAGAACACAAAGCATTACGAGCTGCTGAACTACAGTGAACATGGTACGACTGTTGACAATGTTCTCTATTCCTGTGACTTCTCTGAGAAAATTCTTCCTACTCCTCCCAGCAGTATTGTTGCTAAAGTGCAGAACGTTATAAGTAAGTTGTCACGTCCCTAATGTATATTGTTCTTGCTTTCTGTTCAATAAATACATTGCAATCATGGCAGCAGTGTGGAACAAGTTGAATCTGTGCAAAGCTTTTTCAATTATGTCATCATTTCCTACGGTGCTCTTTTTACTCTGAAGTAGTCTGCAATTTTTGCGTTTTTTTTGTTGCATAGAGAAAATATTTATACAGTGCTTTTCATACTACCTATTCACATTAGTCCCTGCCCTCAAGGAAAAGAGGCAGAATAAAAATATTTCAGATCTTTAAGTCCACTGCTGAAATTCTTAAAAAAAAAACTATGGGGTACGTGTTTTCCCCATAGTTCTTTTCAGGGTCACGGGAGGACATATACTAGCGTCCTCCCTTTAACCCCTTCGTGACTGACGACGTACAGTGTACGTCGCCAGCATCGGGGCTGTTTAAACAGACTCCTGGCGACTTTTGCCGCCGGGAGTCTGTTTAAACTTGTAGAGCCGACTGTCGGCTTTACAACAGAAGCGATTCTGGCGACTTACCTGTCGCCAGATCACTTCTGTGTCCCGAAGAAGGAGCCGCCCCCCGCCGGACACCACCGCCGTGCTTCCCGGGCTCCGTTGCCCCTCCTACGGGCCCGGGACCGGCGTCCTTGGTGTCCGTTATAATGTTTGGGGGTTTTAAGTAATTTTCAGGCCTAAAATGTGGAATATAACATGGGTGCAAAAAATGAAAAAAAGGACTCAGTCATGAAGGGGTTAAAGGAGAACTATGAGGCAAGTGAAAATCACTCAGCCTCATAGTTCGAGCCGACGTGTGGCAATGAAACTGTCACACAACGGCTCCATAGATCGGGAAGTGAGCGAACACATAGCGTCGCTCGCTCACTTCTCGATCCTGTCCCTGCAGAGAGTTGTGACTGTCACGGCTCCCTGAAGGGATTCCCCCTCCCCTGTCCAATCCTCCAGCGCTGACTGGCGGAACGGGAGGAGGCGGGTACAGCTGCCTTTGCCTCTAGATAGGCAGAGCCAGCTGGGTGGATCTCGACAGTAATGTCGGGATCCGTCCCAGCTGCGGAGTCTCAGTATACTGCGAGCTGCAGCTCCAGTATACAGAGCTTTGGGTGATGGGAGGACACTAGTTTGTGTACTCCCATTACCCTTAGGAGAACTATGGGGAAAAGCACTGACCCCATAGTTCTCCTTTAACCCAAAGCTCAGAATATCGCGAGCTACAGCTCGCGGTACACTGAGACCGCCGCAGCGGGGACGGATCCCGACAATACTGTCGAGATCCATCCAGCTGCGTGAGTGACAGCGGGCTCTGCCTATCTAGAGGCAGAGCCAGCTGTACCCGCCCCCTCCCTTGTCCGTTACTCCACTCGGCGCTGGAGGATCGGAGGGGGAATCCCTGCAGGGGACTGGCAGTCACGGCTCTCTGCAGGGAGATGATCGGAAAGTAAGCGAGCGACGGTATGCGTTCGCTCACTTCCTGATCTATAGAGCCGACGTGTGACAGTTTCAATGTCACATGTCGGGTCGAACTATGAGGCTGTCATTTTCGCTCAACTCATAGTTCTCCTTTAAAATATTTGAGGGTTTAATTTAACTTTAACTTAATGCAGCTGTTTGTAACCTGTGCCCAGCCTAGTTTTTATCTGACAGAATGACAGTGTTCAGTAGAATATTGTAGTTGCGATGAATCTTGCTAGATTGCTTTGTATTAGATGAAACTCATCTAATGCAGTCTCTTTTATAAGCAGAGGTTACCTGTCGTGAAAAAATAGATCCAAAATCACAGCCAGCTGAAGTTGATTGAAATCTTTTTCTTGGCTTGGCTCCACCTCCTGCCATCCCCCAAACTTAACTATTGGTCAGTGTGCTCCCCCATTATAAAAACAGACCAGTACGAGGATTGGGAGGTAGGTCCCAGGTCAACAGTAAAATTAAGCTTGTTTATACCTTCAAACCTGCTTTCGCTTTCAGTAATATCTGCGTATGCATTTTCATCATATGCTCAGTTTGAATTTTGCAGGTTTAACCCAAGGCACAGTAAGTCAGAGCAGCCAGTTCTACGTCCTATAGTGTTCTGCTAAAATGTAGTTGCTGCAGAGTACTGCATTTTTTATTAATATTAATGTTTTTGTTTCTTCAACCCAGAGCGCCGTAAGAGCCAAAATCCCGAGCCTGAACCAGTTAAAGAAGAGGTTGTCATGAGCTCTCAGGGACAAGGTCCCCATGCACAGTCATGCAACTGCAAGGCCAGCAGCTCGAGTCTTATTGGAGGAAGTGGAGCAGGCTGGGAAGGCACAGCTCTCCTACACCATGGTAGCTGCATTAAGTTGGGCTGCATTCAGTTTCTCTTCTCTATCACAGAGTTTGCAACAAGACAGCCGAAAGGAGAAAATGACGCCTTAGCACAAGACCTGGATTTAGAAGAAAAACTGCCTCTAAAGTCGCCTCAACAGGTGCCCGTTTTACGATCCAACTCTGTCCCTTAGGAGCCAAGCATCAGATCTCTTTAAGGGATTAAGGACTTTACTGTAAAAGGACGCACTCGTCAAAGCGACCACATGAGGCAGCCTCCCAAGACCCTGTTTTGGCCAGAAAGAGTTTGCACATTTGCATGATATGAAGAAACTTCACCCTTTTTCCCTCACCTACTTTGCTCAATTTTTAGGGGCATTTGTACAAATAACCGTTTGTTTTCCCATTACAGATTTTCCTCCTAATTTTGTAACGTTTCCAATTGTCCCACCGCAGAACCTTCCACGTGACCACAACTGCAATAAAGGTTACCTCCCTCCAAGCTTCAAGAACCGCATTCAAAGTTTTGTACATACACAGACGGCTGCCCTTTTTTGCCCTGTTCATTTTTTTAAAACTTTTTTTAAATGTATACAGTGCCGCGTGTGATGCCTTTTGGCTCCTGTCTGTTGTAACAAAACCTTTTTGTTGTATACATACTTGTCCCCTTTTTTTGTTAATTTTTAATGTAATACTGCCACTTCTCCTTGAGGAGGTTGGACAAGCTTACATTCTGAGCTTGTGTTTAACTTTTTTAACCTTGACTGTTATAACCAGATTGTTTTTTTTGCATCAGTAATAAAGAAGTGTTCAAGCACCCATAGGCAGTTGATGGAAGGCAAATAATTCCACACACGCGAACTCAAAGCAGAGCAAACAACATCAAGAACCAAGTTGCCAAAAAAACTAGCCAATGACTGATTTTTTTTTTTTCTATTGTCACAGAGTGATATCCCATCACTAAATTAGAAGACAAGGGGAATTAAATTAAAGCCAGCAGAGGTTCTGTCTCGTTTTTAATTATGCCCTTGTTCTTGGAGACATTCCCCTCACTTCCTGTCCCTCAGACCACTGTTCCATTGGGTACACAAACAGCAGTATTAACAGAGGTCCTAACCCTTCCCCACTCTTATCAAAACTAAAATGTTGTGGTAAGAGTTCTAATTTAAGAATGTGCTAATGTTCCTGCTGTCACATTGTATGCTGTCTCTCTCAACTGATATGTCAGATGTAACATGAGCAAGTTGATATTAATTTTATGTGAATATCTGTAAGCATTTGTTCTTTTTAAAAGGGAAAAAAATATTTACTTTCTGCTCGCTGTGCCATAAAGCCAAAATGTGGCTATAAGATAAAGCGCATCCAATGTCTGCCCACCTTTTTGGTTGTGGTGTAGTCACATGGCAATGTACTACACACACTATGGTGTGTTGCAGTGCCATCCATTTTGAATGGCACCCCAACAAACCTAGGCATTCGGCAACAACCACTATTATGATGTAGCACGTACTATGATGTTGCAATGCACTATGCTCAGTATGGTGTGTTTTGGCGCCAGCTATTGTGAATGGTACCCCAACAAACCAAGGCATTCGGCACAACCACTATTATGATGTAGCAATGTACTATGCTCAGTATGGTGTGTTTTGGCGCCAGCTATTGTGAATGGCACCCCAACAAACCAAGGCATTCGGTACAACCACTATTATGATGTTGCATGTACTATGATGTTGCAATGTACTATGCTTAGTATGGTGTGTTTTGGCGCCAGCTATTGTGAATGGCACCTCAACAAACCAAGGCATTCGGCACAACCACTATTATGATGTAGCAATGTACTACACACAGTATGGTGTGTTTTGGCACCAGCTAGCTATTGTGAATGGCACCCCAGCAATGGCATGCAGCAAAGCATGGCATTGTCATGCACTACGACACAAACATGTGAACCATTGGAACGCTACTTATAAAAGTAGCCAAGTGCATGTCTGTTTTTCCAAGTGTTAAAGTGCACTGCCAGCACATTTGGAATGATTGGGCTTCCCCATCAAAGCATGCCCATACATATAATGTGATTTGGGTATAAATGTCTGGAAGGTTCCAGTGCACCCACCCCAAGGTCTCTAGTTTGGATCCACTGAAATTGCCCAGACTTGCTAGGACCTTTCCAGTTTATTCAATTTGGAACCAGTGTTGTATGGGGACTGGTCTTACCCTGAAAAACTGTTTGCACCTCTCAACACGTTTGTTCATCAATATCCTACAGAGGAAGACTTTCTTAAAAAAATGGTCTTCTCTTGTAGTGGACTCAGGCATTTTGCATCTAAACAAGACCTTAATAATCCCCAAGGAGTATGTTTTCAGTAGACACGAAGTTGGAAGCCCTTTGAAGTGCCTTATTCTCCCTAGCCATGTAACCTGCAGTTATGTCTATGGCAGTCTGTCAGACCTGGACTAGACTTTGTGAGCAGGGATTCTGGATCTATCCTGAACGATCCTTCAGCACTTAGAACTCAGCACTTAGAACCCATTCACTGAATAGAGAAGAACCCTTCTCTATTCAGTGAATGGGTTGACTGGTGCACTTTGCCTAATTTCTAGGATGAGCCTACTTTCTGTTCATCTGCGAAGGCTTCTCTGGCCTAAATGCTGGTCTGCAGAGTTTCCCCACAAGAAGCTGCTTGAGAGGATGCCCTTTGAAGGGGACAACTCTTGGGTACTTCCCTGGTTACTTACATGAAGGAAATTAAAGAGGGTCCAAGCTGGATAGCCTCTTGCAGAAAGATCTTGTCTGCAAAGTCCCCCAAGTCTGGGACCATGCCCTTTTCCTGTCCGCAAAAACCCTACAAGTCTGACACTATGCCCACCTCACAATGAGGGGGGCGACCTCGCGTGCAAAGAGGGGGAGCGCTTGTCTGCCTTTCTGATGTCTGGTTCTGAGTCTCCTGTCCTGAGGATGCAAGCCAGAGTTTAAGACTCTGCCTCCTCCACACTTCAGGCTTTTAGAAGTAGACCGTCCTATTACATTGTTTTAATAGGGGGATTGTAAGGCAGGGTTGGGCAACTCCAGCTGTGCTTTAACTAGAAACCCCAACATGTCTGTAACTGTCACTCTTACAGTGTCTCATGGGGGGGGGGGGCTTGAGTTGCCCACCCCTGTTGTGAGGTGTATGGTAAACGTTTAGTTTTACTATAATGTGAGGGCCTAGCAAATCCTGTCCATTCAGTTTGCATCTGGACAGGCCCTTGCCCTTAAACTATTAGTAGATGTAAAACAGTCAAAATGTGATAAAGTGAATAGCCAATTAAAAGATAAAATACCCAATCAGCGTTGGCTGCAATATTCATTTTTAAGCCAGAGATTTCCCAAATCACTTTTTTTCTACGGCTAGATATCCTCAGTCTGACCAGTATCATTCAACCCACATCCTCTTAGCCTAAGTTGTCCTGGACCCGCCCCCAGTCTGTGACTGTAAAAGGAGAAGCAACTCTGCTCTCTATCGTCATGCTTCTTTGTCAGCACATGAACTGATTGGCTCCTTGTGCTGCTGCTTCCACTCACATTGCCAGCCCTGCTGCTCAGGGAATTGAGAGATTCCAGGTAAAATCCAGGAATTTACAATGTGTACAATTTTGTATATTTTTTTATCTGCCTACAATTCAGCCTAAAGATTGTACAGTGAGTAGCCAGCTTTAGGTAAATATCGAACATAAAACTCTAATCCTTTAAACTCCCTCCTCAGCAAAAAATGTGCATATAACTGGGTACTTCTAAAGTGTAGAAACTTTATACTGCCCTTTGTTTCTCGGCTTTGACTCTTCTGCAGCCTCTAAAATCTTGCTCATACGGTGGGCTTGGCTTCAGGGAATTATCGTCTCGTTTATCTGACTGGTTATGGTTATCTTAATAGCTATGCACATGCGATGGGCCTAACCATTCATTATTCTACATGGCCAGGCTCATGCACAGGATTTCTAGCCTGCTGGGGAGATAACAGGATGTGCCATGCAGTGTACATTTTAATCCTTGCATGTCAGAGTTGACAAATGTTCACGCACGGTCATTGCCATGGAAGTTGAATAGATGAGGTAAGTGAAAATACCGCTTTGTAACGGGTCTCTACGCCAGTTTAAACGTGTATCCCCTATTACACATTTTCCTGCTCCCAGTCTATTGCCGGTCTACAGCTGAATGTAAACAGAGGGGACGGGGATGGTCATGTCCTCAATTACCCTTTAAATGGTTATTTCAAGATCATACCTGCTGCTGCAGCTGTGATACTGGAATCATTTTACAGAGCAGGCGGAGGGCTTTTGAGTACAAGTCATCTGCAGATATAAAGCTGCCCGATCACTTGTACCGGCCTCTGAAAGTAATGCTACCCCATGCCCTAATTTGTGGGCTTTCCTATTCCTCCACGGGGCCCAGGACCACTGCAAATGCTGTCAGGATGGAGAGTGGGAGCAGACCAAGGAACACCCGTTCCCCCGATCTGTTCTGTGATCACTGAAGCAGGCTTCTGTGCTCTCCACGCTTCCTGCTTCGGAGCTGTCCGAAGCCCCAGCTGAAATGCTGGTAGAGAACAGACATTCAAAAACGGCCACCCGCTGTTAAGGGTTTGCTGTCCGGCCTTTGGGAAAGCAGTTAAGGTAGCTGCGTAATTTAGTGAAATATTCCCAAAGTTTACAGAGAGAAATGGTAATGTCTATAATATAGCATTTGTGCCTCAGTCAGATTATCAATAGTAGATCCCAACCAGGTTCCACCATCCGCGCCAGCTGCCTCAGGGGTCAAAAAAACAAACATATTGTTGACCATTGTATCTACATGACGTGCCACATTCATTTCTGAATTTGCATTATAAAAGACGGGACCTTAACTATACCAGAAATGTATCTTATTTGTGTATCACTCGGCTGTAGCTCCTCAAATCATCTCTGAATTGGTGCTGACACTGTCCTTCCTTCTGGAGGGTGACTACTTTTGTTCCTCATGGTCCCTGTGTGTGTTGTAAAGTAGCCACCGCTCCAAGCTCACTCCTGTGATGGACTACAATCTCATGTTTAGGTTACTCATTTGTATTGGGATTGTAGTCCTTCCCGGAGTGAGTTTGGAGCGGTGGCTACTTTACAACATACACAGGGACCATGGGGAACAAAAGTAGCCACCCTCCAGAAGGAAGGACAGTGTCAGCACCAATTCAGAGATGATTTGAGGATCTACAGCCGAGTGATACACAAATAAGATACATTTTTGTTAAAGAACTATGGGGTAAGTGGTTTTCCCCATAGTTCTCCTAATGGGCACGGGAGGACATAAACTAGTGTCCTCCCGTGACCCAAAGCTCAGTATATTGCGAGCTACAGCTCGCGGTATACTGAGACCGCCACAGCTGGGAAGGAACCAGACAATACTGTTGAGATCCACCCAGCTGCATGATTGACAGGTAGCTCTGCCTATCTAGAGGCAGAGCCAGCTGTACCCTCCCCCGTCCGTTCCGCCAGTCAGCGCTGGAGGAGAGGGGAGCGGGAGTCCCTGCAGGGAGCCGTGAGTGACAGCCAGTGAGCGAGTGACGGTATGCGTTCACTGACTTCACGATCTATTGAGCCGACGTGTGACAGTTTCATTGTCACACGTCGGCTCGATCTATGAGGTTGAGTGAAAATCGCTAACCTCATTGTTCTCCTTTTAATAGGGAAGTCACTTGAATGCATTTTTAAGTATTAATGCCTGAGTATAGTGTCACTTTAACCCTTGGCGTACTGGGTAGCCCCATTGCAATAGTAGTTTTTTTTGTTCCTGGAGATAGGCCATTATCCCTTGGTGCCTGCTCTCGCTGGCCCCTTACAGGATTCTAAATGACAGGAGGCAGAGGAGGGCTTCTTGATCATGTGATTTCCAGCCACAGCGGTCACATGATCAAAGTGTGTTGGTGACATCTCAGTCACTGTACTGGAAGTGTGCTAGTGAGTGTGCAGAACAGCGGGCTGGCTGACGGATATATACATTACGCCAACATTAAAGTCCACGTGCTGGAGTGATGTATGTATACATCATCTTGGTGGGAAGGGGTTAAATTGGGCTTTAAAGCAGACCTTCCCCCCCCACCGTTACAAAATCACGTTTATTGCTTTTTGGAAAGCTCTGTGCTTCAACTTCTCACAATCGGCGGGGTCTGTCTCTTCCTGATTCTTGCAACTGATCCCTTGCTGATGTGCTGCCACACATGTGCGTCATCAGAGGGATGGTTGTCAATCCCCTTTCACACCTGAGTGTTTTGTAAACGCAAATGCACACAAAAATGCATGCTTTGATGCGGTGCCTTTATCAGTTAATGAAACCACAAATGCAGTGGGCAAATGCATTTTTTCCTCCGTATTTGCAAGCATTAAAATGTGCACAAACGCGGAGGAAACAAAACTTTTTTTTGCAACATGTAGTACTTTTTTTTTGCATTTGTCGCGTGTGCGAGAACTCATGGAAACCAATGTGGATGTGCAGCAAACGTATCACACAATCTGCATTCCTGGTACGCCTATGTGTGAATGGGGACTGTGGGCTAGGGGGCACACAGAGTATAGTGATCAGGGGGGCGACGATAACGTCACAGAGTCTAGTGAGAGGGGGGGCGGGAGGGATGACGACGACGACACAGAGTCTAGTGACAGAGGGAATGGGGAGACGACAGAGTATAGTGACAGAGGGAATGGGGAGACGACACAGAGTATAGTGACAGAGGGAATGGGGAGACGACACAGAGTATAGTGACAGAGGGAATGGGGAGACGACACAGAGTATAGTGACAGGGAATGGGGAGACGACACAGAGTATAGTGACAGAGGGACGACACAGAGTATAGTGACAGAGGGAATGGGGAGACGACACAGAGTATAGTGACAGAGGGAATGGGGAGACAGAGTATAGTGACAGAGGGAATGGGGAGACGACAGAGTATAGTGACAGAAGGAATGGGGAGATGACAGAGTATAGTGACAGAAGGAATGGGGAGACAACACAGAGTATAGTGACAGAAGGAATGGGGAGACAACACAGAGTATAGTGACAGAGGGACGACACAGAGTATAGTGACAGAGGGAATGGGGAGACGACACAGAGTATAGTGACAGAGCAAATGGGGACAGATTGAGGGTAACCCAGCGAAAAAGGTAAGGGGTTGAAAACATAAGAGGAGTGAAGATCCTCTGCCGGTGGAATAAAAAATGTATTATCTTAGTTCTACATAGAACTGTCAGCTCTTCATGTTCAATTCTCACAAACTATTTACAGGGGTTCTAACTTTTTTAGTAGTTAAAAAAACGGTTATATAGCAGATATGATATTAAACTCCATGCAGACCTATAAAGCCTCATCCTCAGTGGTAGTGGGGGCCTCTGTGTATATACACGTTGTCTCCTCCCCTGCACACCGCAGCCGGCGGCGTGTGGAGGAAGATTGTCCCCAGCCGGCGGCCGTAGTGGGAAGCGGCGTGGTATTGTCATTACATAAGAAGACAGAGTGATGTGAGCTCCGAGGAGAGATAATCCAGAGACAGATCAGACGACACTCTGTAATCACACAGCAATGGCCGCCCTCCTCCTTATACCTGGCATAGCCGTGGGGCTCTACGTCTTTATCTACTACAACTTTATCCGGGGGAGACAGTGCAAGAGCGAGCTCAGCCTGATGGGGAAGACAGTCATAGTTACAGGTAAGAGGAGTGAGGGACGACGACACAGAGTATAGTGACAGAGGAGGGTGGGGCACTTAGAGTATAGTGACAGAGGGGGGTGGGGGCACACAGAGTATAGTGACAGAGGAGGGTGGGGTGAGAGGGACACACAACCCTCCAGATCATAGTGGCAGAGAGGGACACACAACCCTCCAGATCAGAGTGGCAGAGAGGGACACACAACCCTCCAGATCAGAGTGGCAGAGAGGGACACACAACCCTCCAGATCAGAGTGGCAGAGAGGGACACACAACCCTCCAGATTATTGTGGCAGAGAGGGACACACAACCCTCCAGATCATAGTGGCAGAGAGGGACACACAGCCCTCCAGATCATAGTGGGAGAGAGGGACACACAGCCCTCCAGATCATAGTGGGAGAGAGGGACACACAGCCCTCCAGATCATAGTGGGAGAGAGGGACACACAGCCCTCCAGATCATAGTGGGAGAGAGGGACACACAGCCCTCCAGATCATAGTGGGAGAGAGGGACACACAGCCCTCCAGATCATAGTGGGAGAGAGGGACACACAGCCCTCCAGATCATAGTGGGAGAGAGGGACACACAGCCCTCCAGATCATAGTGGGAGAGAGGGACACACAGCCCTCCAGATCATAGTGGGAGAGAGGGACACACAGCCCTCCAGATCATAGTGGGAGAGAGGGACACACAGCCCTCCAGATCATAGTGGGAGAGAGGGACACACAGCCCTCCAGATCATAGTGGGAGAGAGGGACACACAGCCCTCCAGATCATAGTGGGAGAGAGGGACATAACCCTCCAGATCATATTGGTAAAGAGGGACGTACAACCCTCCAGAACATAGTGGCAGAGAGGAACGCACACCCCTAGTGAGGAGTATGTACCTGAATAGACAGCCAGTGATATTTCTGGTGACCTCTATGACATGTGTATTGTTTTGGGATTCATTGAAGTATAACACCAGAAGATATTTCTTTGTTTCACAGGAGGAAATGTAGGAATCGGTAAATCGTCAGCTCTAGACATGGCCAAGCGGGGAGCTCGGGTTATCCTGGCTTGCCGAAACCAGGAAACAGCAGAAGCTGCTGCACTGGACATCCGCAGGGTGAGTGTACAACCCTCAGATTTCTGGGACATACATTGTTGGCCTCCATTAATTTCTTCTTCAAGAGAAGCTTACTCACACACTGTCCCAGCACTTTCCTTATTCTGGCCATAAAATCTCATCCTATAATATGTCCTGTCTTGCGATGGTTGTAAGGTGTGTGCCCAGCCTTAGATGCAAGGGACTGCCTGACTGAATGGAGTGTTTACATTTCCCTTCATATTGCATCGTTTATGGAAATCCAAAGGAAATTGTACAGAGATTGTACATCGGTATTGCATAGTGTATGGCAATGTACAGAAATCCTATATATAAAGGACACAATAAATATTGGATGTTATTTGGAAGCGTATCAATTATGGGAAGCCAAAAACTGAATTGTGGATTTCATGCATTGCATTCATAACATTGTCATATAGACAGCCAGGTCCTCAAAAGACACCCTCATGGTACTTGCATCACCTTCATGCTGATTATCATTTTGAAGGTAGCCAGTGTGTATGTATGTGTATGTGTGTGTATATATACATAATCTTTATGTTAAAGCCCAGGGCTTTTTTTGTTGTTGTAGCCCCGTGAGCTTAAAACAGAGGGAGCCTCACGGGGGGGCCTTCCTTCTCACGGGGCTTTTGGAGTACTTTTCTCTGGTGCTGTCCCCTGCAGTAATCCTTTTTCACCACAAGATGTCCTTAGTCTTCAGTGTTAAATGACACCCAATCATTGAACCTAAGAGAATGAGGACATACTGTCAGTGCAGGGCATCACGTACCTACCCCCTATACATCTTCAGTGTAAAGATGCACAAAGCGGCGCAGATCTGATCACCTCAGTGCCACTTCCTGCATCATTAAGTAAAGCCCGCTGCTGGAGAAAATGTGGAGAGAAAGAGAACCCCGTTTGTCACATGACTGGACTGAAGACCTCTGGAAATGGCTTAGTGTTAGACATAAAAAACATACATACTCTGGGGGGAGGGGGGTAGAGCCCAGAGTAGTGCTATAAGATCCCTGCACACATTATAATCTGACTGTACAATCTCCTCTAGATTTAAAGTAGAATTAAACCTGCTAGCGGGCAGTAGATAAATGCAAAAACGTTAAAAGAAATAAAAGTTCCAAACGGGTCATTACTTACCTGTGTCTCCTCCGCTTGCTCCTGTCTGAAGATTCTCGAGGGGCTGTGAAGAATGATAGGGCAGCCGCATGCGCAGTAGAGATCTTCAGCCGGAGAAGCAGAGAGATTCAGTGTAAGCCAATGCACGCAGCCAGGAGCGTGCACGCGGACAGACTCCGTGGGATCAGAACTGGAGGGATTGCTGTATACAAGTGGAAAGAAGAAGATGATCGGATCAAGAGGCATCATTTAAGGTAAGCCCTTAAAGCAGCATTGGGCGGGGGGAATGTGACTTTAATGTCACTTTAGTTCCCCATCATTTAGTATAGTCACACAGACCTTCCCACTACATGGCTGGTGATAGCTCTAAAGGAGATTGTACCGACAGACTGTAATATGTGGTGAGCTGTACACAATGGTACCAAAATGATTTCTGTCAGTAGGCAGGCAGACACTTTGTATGGTTAGCACATGGAAAACGGGTCATTTCATTTACTATTTAGTTACAGATCTCTCCGCTCACGCTCTTATTGTAGTTGGATTACAGAAAAAAACAAAAAAGCGCCAGAGAGGACTGCTCAACCAGTACAAACCAATGTACACATGAATAAAATTAGAATCAAAGTCTGTTTGGAAATTGATGATTGAATAAAAAATTGGTGAATGAGTAAAATAAAAAACACGTTTAAAAAATTGTGTGTCTGTAGGATGCTGCCCCAAATCAGCCGGGGAGACTGTAAATCTTGGGAAAAAACACAAACAAGGGGCGCCTTTCCTGGTGCAGACAAATTTATTAAGATCAGAATAGAAGAAAAATATAAAACATACTCACAAAATTCATGATAGAAGTATAAAAAGTATATAAGTTAAGTCCATGGACCCAAGGTGAAGTCTATGAAAGCTGCACAGCCGTGTCTATGTGTCAGCAGGAGACTGTGTGCTGTATGATGACGCGTTTCCGGGGTCACGCCCCCTTCATCAGATTTTTATACTTCTATCATGAATTTTGTGAGTATGTTTTGTAGTTGGCTTTCAGTTCAAATAAGGAAATAAGATACAAGTCATATAGGAGTCTATTTATAAACAATTCAGAGCCATTCACCTTGCAAATCTCTGTGAATATTCCTGCTGTGTAAATAGGGGCAATCTGTACTATATTTTCTTTTAAGGTCGAATGTAAAACCACATTATGGCCAATGGATGGAGCGTATTCCCTATGCTCCTTAGCTCCATCTAGTGACCATAATGCAGTATTAAAGATATACCAAGAATGTTTGGTTTTGGCTCTATTCGCACAGAACGAATGTTCAGAGATTTTCAGGGCGATTGGCTTTGGAAATTATTCATAAATAAACTTCTAAGTTTCCTGTCACATGGACTTCGGGAAGATGACCCGAACCTAAAGATACAGCACATTTGAACCTGCATGAGCAAAGCACAGGCCCTCTTATATGGTGTCATTCAGTGTCTATAAGCACCAGTAATAAGTTTCTGATTTTTGTCCTCTGCAGTAGTTGAACACTTCTGAATTATTGGACCCATTAGCTGTTTAATTATAGCCCATTCCGTATTCCAGCTTTGTGTTATAAGTGATTACATAACTGCAGAAACTTCTCAGTAATAAGAGGACAGCAAGGTAGATAACACAGGCACCTACGCTCTTCATGTCGCATGTATGACTGCTTCAAATTTGTATAAAGGTCACTCATTCCTATTAATGGGTGGGGCGTGACAATGGAAAAAAATGATTGCATGCATTGTACTTCACAGTTGTGAATCACATGGTGCCATGATGGTTCATATAAACAAGATCACTCTCTGTATTTTCTGCAGTTATCTGGGAACAATGAGGTACTGTTCATGAAGCTCGATCTGGCCTCTACTGCATCTATCAGGTCGTTTTGTAAAACATTCCTCAGTAGTGAGCCAAGGCTGGATATACTAATCAACAATGCAGGTAAGGAGATGTAGACAGAGGCCTCGGACTAGAGGCAGAACGGCCTAATCATTGCTGATAGCGTGTCTTAGATACCAGTACTCTGTATCCTACATGATTCGTTCAAGTGATACTAAACTCAGGAGGTCAATCTTAAAATTGCATTCAAGTACCTTCACTATGAACAAAAATGTATCTTATTTGTGTATCACTCGGCTGCAGATCCTCACATCATCTCTGAATTGGTGCTGACACTGTCCTTCCTTCTGGAGGGTGGCTACTTTTGTTCCCCATGGTCCCTGCGTGTGTTGTAAAGTAGCCACCGCTCCAAGCTTGCTACTGTGATAGACTATAATCTCATGTTTAGTTTACTCATTTGTATTGAGATTGTGGCCCATGACAGGAGAGAGCTTGGAGCGGTGGCTACTTTACAACACACACAGGGTGCATGGGGGACAAAAGCAGAGAGTGAGAACACACATGAACGTGCAGGGAAAAAACACGGCACGCATGTTGCACTATATTCCATCCAGGGAAACAAGTGCCCGTGAACACGCATCACCACAATGTGCATTCCCACTACACTCATTTGCAAACAAGGACTGAATCCCTAAAACAGCAGATTGAAAAGTAGTGGAGGGGGAAACAACACAAGGAGCCAATCGGTTGTGTTGCAGTGCTCATGTGGTAACGGAGCATGTTCTGAGTGACAGGGAGAGAAGCTTGTCAGGTTGCTGCTTTACTTTTCCCTGTCCAGTCGTAGACTGGAAAAGGGAAAATACCTGTAAACATTACTTATCTTAGCCGAGGAAAGTTGGGTTTCCTGCCCTACCAGACAGGCCTGTACTGTGTGGCAGAGCTGTGTAACTCTGAGGACTAGATGGAGAGAAATACAAATCTTTTGGCAAGTAAAACCGCTCCCATTTATGTGTTTCATTTGTGTGTGGATCTGTTTGCCTGGAGTTTAGTTTTATTGTTTGAATGACTTCTAAAATGGTGTATCTTAAATATCTGCCAAGAGGTCAGACTAAAAAAGTGCTAGTTCCTGCAATAGCAGACCTCTCCAGCGCCCATACCTTTACCCATTCCAGCCCTGCTGCCTCTGCCAGAGGTTTCCAGGAGTGTTGGAAATTTCCTTAGTATGCGCTGTGGTTCCATCAACTGACCCCCTACTTCACTATAGAACAGTGACATCCACATGTGGTATGTTGTTGTGGTTCCTTTCTCTGACCCAGAACTGTGTGGGGGACACTCCCAGAAAGTGTTGCATTTTGAAGAATCATACAGTGACTGCAGCCATGGAATAGAGGGATGTTAAAGACGCAGGCCGTGGAGCGGTGAGAATATAATCCCTCTTCTGTTACAGGGAACTGCCATTTGGTCGCTTAGTAGTTAGTAACTTTGACTCTTTTGGGTATGATAAATTCATGTTTCTTCTGTTTTAAAATCAAACACAGTAGAAGCTTTCTCTGCCAATACCAAATACACTATCAGGGTTATTCACTAAAGGGTGAAGAGTTTGGAGAAGGCAGGAGAAGTGAACAATCTAGGACAACATAGCTGATTTGGAAAAATTCTCCTATTCAGCTCACTTTCCTGTTCAGCTATGTTGTCCTAGATTGTTCACTTCTCCTGCCTTCTCCAAACTCTTCACCCTTTAGTGAATAACCCTGTAAATGTCAGAAACTGAAATCGTAATGGTATTCATAGCCGATGTAGTAAAGAAATGAATGATGTGTAAGTATTTGTACACGCCTGATCATGTCCATGTTCTGATCCTTGCAGGCATTTCTGGTAAAGGCAAGACTCAAGATGGCTTCAACTTGGTGTTTGGCGTCAATCACCTAGGACATTTTCTACTGACTCATCTGCTTCTGGATCGCCTTAAACAGTGCACCCCAAGCCGCATTGTCGTTCTTGCATCTAATGCCCATAGGTGGGGAAGGATCAACTTTAAGAACCTAAACCCACCTGGTGAAACATGGCTAGAGGTCACCCGGGCGTATAGTGACAGCAAACTTGCAAACATTTTGTTTGCCCGAGAGCTGGCCAACCAACTACAGGGAACTGAGGTGACTTGCTATGCTGTCCACCCAGGTATGTAACAAACCTCAGGAGATATGCAGGGTATAGAGAAGAAACTGTATTCCACTACCTGTGCCAGGTTTACAGTACGCTTGTTGCTTTTTTTTTTCTTGGTTTCCCCTTTAACTGGTTTCAGGGAGAGTAGCACCTGTTTAAGGTGAACCTGGGCACCATGTTATTATTTTGACGTTTTACCTAAAAACAGACACGACAAGATGGCTGCTGTTACCTGTAATACCAAGAAAAGCTTCTTCTGGGCCGCTCTGTAAATTGGTTCACTTTCTTACTGGGGCCTTTCACAGACTATGGCTCGACCCTGCCAACAGCCAGAGCACTGCCCATTGACACTCTGTGGCCAGCAAAGTCACTTGCTGTGAACTGAGGGATAGTGGTGGAGCGTAGCCTTTAAATCATGAAAAGTCAGGTCCCAGTAGCAAGGTGAAATGAGGGGCATGGAATAGGCTTAATTTCCTAATATATCTAATAGCATTTTGTAGTGTCTGCTCTTAGGCAGGATGTTTGCTTTTAAATGCCTGAAATCAAGTAAGGTTCACTTTAACCTAGTGCTAGATAAATAATTGTTGCCATAGGGATTAAATAAAGCTCCCAGATGACCAGGTATTTGAGAATGTTATATGCAGTTTCATTGACTGCAGTTACAACAACCTCTACTAGATGGCACCTAGTAAAAGCAGTGTCTCTCGTTGACTGGTGTTCCCTCAGCTGCCAACTAGGTGGTGCCTAGTAGAAACTGGATCTCCTCAATCACTCTGCATTCCCGAAAGAATACATTTATATCTATATCTTTCCTGGGTTATGGGATTTTTAGCTGTACCAGTGAATAAATTAGCAGTGACGTATCCCCCATCCCTCCCCCTCCATGCCTTATCTGTTCAGATGGGTGCAGAGGTTGTCAGAGAGAGAGTCTGACTACAAACCTCTTCAGCTGTGCTCTCTTTAGACAATGTGTGGCATGGGTGCACCTTGTATAAAATGATTATTTGAAAATAGAGTTTATGCATAGAGGATAAATACTAAAATTACATTTAAAGAGATTCTGTCACTAGGGTGATTGGTGCAAAGCACTGCAGGTATGTATTTCAGGAACTAAATACCTGCAGCATCCCCTTCTAAGCCTTTTTTGTAATTGCCAAATCGCAGAGCGTTCTGACAAGCAAAGCTTTAGCACTTCCTGATAATGTCTAAAGGTGCCCATACACTTTACAACCCTCGCAAGACTTTTGTCTTGCGAGGGGCGGGCTTGCGATGACTGCAATGAGGGGCGGGCTTGCGATGACTGCAAACGGGCAGTGTGCGCATGCGCACACTGGCCCGTTCGGCAGTTGTCGAACCAGCAGGCCACTAACTTGCCGAGAATCGTACGATTCCCGGCGGGTTTTCCAGCCTGCTGGTTCGACGGAAGACGTGCGACCGTACAGTAGAAACGGTCGCACGCCTTCCATACACTGTACGATTCTCGTACGATCGCGGGATTTCCTGCGATTCTCGTACGAGAATCGTGCAGTGTATGGGCACCTTAAGCCTGCTCACCCTTTCCTGCCTCTTGCACATTCCTATTGGTCACTGAGGCTGACCATTATAGTGTTGCTATAGTAGGCATGCATTGTTGTTTGGCCGTTACAGGAAGATATAGAAGGCTCCAGGTGTCTACTTATGCCTGCAGCAGTGTGGCCACCTTCCCCCGGTATCAGAAGGGCTGAAGGTCCCCACACACCTTGCGATAATCGTACGATAATCGCGGGAAATCCTGCGATCGTACGATTATCGTAAGGTGGGTGGAAGCCGTGCGACCTCTACTACTGTAAGGTCGCACGACTTTGAACTTACGGACATGTTCGAAAACCCGCCGAGCATCGTACGACGTTCGGCGGGTTTGTGGCATGTCCGTACGATAACAGCCGTACGGGCCGGTGTGCGCAAGCGCACACTGCCCGTTCGGCATTGCGGTCATCGGAAGCCCGCCCCTCAGGGGGCGTGGCTTGCGATCATCGCAAGTACGATCTGCCTATCCAAGATGGGCGGATTGTACGTTTTTTTAAGTACCTTACAACCATCGCAAGACAAAAGTCTTGCGATGGTTGTAAGGTGTGTGCCCAGCCCTATATACTAGAGGAGTTGATGATCAGGTAAGTTGCACCTGTGATCACTTTGTATTCCCCATCATGCGCAGATAAAGTAATTCAACAGGAATTTGCTTTAATGTGATTACATGTTTGTTTATTTATATCAAGCAGTCATTGTGAATTAATCTATTACTGCTTGATAAATTAATTCATTCATTTTTGGTTATTATTAGGCTGCTTCAAACTTAAGAACAGCGAATAATAACCCTAATGACACTGATCCTGCAGCATTTCTGGGTCAGATGTCACTAAAGGTTTTCTGATCGTTCCAACAACGATCAGAAAACCTGCAACATTGTTTTCAGCAATAAATACATGTATCAAAATGTTTCTATTGCTGAAAGTTTAGAAGAAAAAAAAGCTGGTATAAATCGGGATTTCCCGATCTTTACCAGCTGTCAGTAAAGCAGTAAATGCCGCTCTGCTCTCGATGTCAGACACCCGATTCCTGAAAGGGATCGGGTGTCTGAAACAGCTTAACTCTTTCATTAATGAATGGTAACCACTGATTCTCAGCGGTTACCAGCATTAGAGAGCCACAAATAACTGGTCACGTACAGTGTACATGGCCAGTCATTTGGGCACTTCCTGGTCAGGACGTACAGTGTACGTCTCCCGTCATGAAGGGGGTTAATACATGAATAAATAATAATGACCAATGCCAGTGCTATAGTAGAGGTGAAAATGTAAATAATAAGAATGAACACCATCTTAATGTAATCAGAATACATATCTTGACAATTTCAGACCTTGCACAATCTGCATACGTGGCGGCTCTTTTGTATATTGTACTCCAGGAAGAGACTTATAGTGTACAATCCATGTATTTCTTGACGTCGTGTCAGTAGTTGATATTGTGGAACTACACCAGGAATTAATTTTTTGTTTGTATGTCTCTCTCTTTACAGGGGTAGTGCTCACTAACTTAGGACGCAGCTTGCCATATTTGCTCAAGGTAGTGGTCTTCCCCATTGGTTGGCTCTTCCTGCGCACACCCATGGATGGCGCACAGACCTCCATTTACTGCGCCGTAGAAGAAGGAATTGAACACTACAGCGGACGATACTTTACCAACTGCCAGCTCCAACAGGTGAAGCCCCACGCCCGTGATGACGCTGTGGCCAAGAAGTTGTGGGAAGTTAGTGAGGATCTCCTGGGCCTGAATAAATAATTGTCCTTCATATCCTTTAACTGCAGGGATGATCAAAAGTCTGCCGAAACCTATGTAGTCATTTACTTTTGCATATAATGGGCAATAACAGACATTCTCTTATCTAGTAACCTGTACTCAACTGCTAGACCCTGGAAAGATACAAGTGTAAATAATGGATGATGCTCACTGATCTGCTATACTTTAATCCAGTATTTAACGTGGAGCATAAACTAAAAATTGCGAGCAGGCAGGATCATCTGCATTAAAACAGACTTACCTGTCCGTCCTTAATCTTCGGTGAGCTGCACTGTGATGTAATGAATGAACTCGTGTGCGCATGCGCAAGAGTCCTATCATTCCCTCACCGGCCAATCACAACAGCCAAACACCCAGCACCTGGAAGAAATGGGAGAAGATGTTGACGCCAGTGAGATGGAGGTGAGTTAAGTTCTCCTTTAAAATTTGAAAGAGGTTTAAATAAGAACTCTGGGCGGAACGTTTCTTAACCCTTGCAGTGGGATATCCCGCACTGCAAGGGTTAACTGCTCATTTTTGTCTAGGTGCTAAAAAAAATAGTTATACTTGTGCAACGCGTGGAGACGGCCCCTAGACCGGTCCTTCCAGTCTCTCTCCCCCTTTGCTGCAACAATCTAAGGATCTGTAAATCCTCACATTCTACACACTGTATAGACGGGAGGACGCTGAGGAACAGACCAATGCTGCAGCGGACTGCTCCACTGCAAAGGTTAATAAAAGTTTTGCCCAGAGTTCTTCTTTAAATCATGATGACAAATCTGCTGACCCATTATCCAGGACTGAAAACTGGAAAGATCAATCTGAAATCATACACGATGCTCACTAATGTACCAGAGACTCTAGTGCTGGGAAGACACAAGCATGAAGAATAGATCGTGCACACTATACACACAGATATGGTCATGGCGGTACTCCTACGGATTTAGGTTTACATTCACACCCATCTAGTGCTGGGAAGACACAAGCATGAAGAATAGATCGTGCACACTATACACACAGATATGGTCATGGCGGTACTCCTACGGATTTAGGTTTACATTCACACCCATCTAGTGCTGGGAAGACACAAGCATGAAGAATAGATCATGCACACTATACACACAGATATGGTTATGGCGCTACTCCCATGGATTTAGGTTTACATTCACACCCATCTAGTGCTGGGAAGACACAAGCATGAAGAATAGATCATGCACACTATACACACAGATATGGTTATGGCGCTACTCCCATGGATTTAGGTTTACATTCACACCCATCTAGTGCTGGGAAGACACAAGCATGAAGACTAGATCATGCACACTATACACACAGATATGGTCATGGCGGTACTCCTATGGATTTAGGTTTACACTTTAGCAATAATTGGTGAAGGGCAATACACTTTGGCACTTTGCTAGCCACCTTTTTGAAGTCAGCAAGGAATGAGTGTGTGAAGGAATGTGAATGAGTGTATCTGCTTTTTCCGGAAGTATCAGTCATCCCTGTGATTTAAATTAAGGGTGCATTCACACCATATTTGGAGGCTACTCGCAGGTCAGCGGAGGGTCCGTTGGCTTGCAGTTGTACCTTCCAATCCGTTGCATTCCAACACTTTTTTTTTTTCTCTTTTTTTTTTCTTGCAAGCTTTGCGTGAAGTAGCATGTCCTGAGTGGACATATTTCACTGTAATAGCTTGTGATGCATTGTGTTGTGTTTAGCGTGCGTTAACAAGCGTTTTTATTGCATTGCATTTTCAAATAGCATACTTTACTTTCTTTTCAGCACAGCGTACGGCAACGCAACACAGCGGTGTGAACTGTCCTATTCACACCCATTGATTGTGCGTTGCCCTTGTGTTCCCATCCATTAAAAAACTGATGGTAATGCAACGGATCTGGTGTGAATGGGGCCTTATGGTTTTAATTTGGCAACTAAATGTGATTATGTAGAGTTGGCGTAAATGTGCCTGTGAATATGACATTTTTGTTCCTCTATTTACAATAAAGTGGACCACGCTTCTAATGTGCCTGTTCACCCATGGAGCTCCCCTCTTCTAGAACTTCAGCCAATAGGCTATTTTTAGAGTATGTAAAGTAGCACTTATATTTCACTTTTTGGCTGATTGCTAGAAGTAAAACTCTAAGAATTGAATTGTTCAAAACTGAGGCAGACAAAATCTGAAGCAGCTTTGCATGGCAACCAATCAGTTTCTCCCTTCAGTTTGTTCACTTAAAGTGACATTAAACCCTCAGATTTTTTAACATAAACCAATACTGTAATGCGTGCCTTACTGTAATCCATGGTTGTTTCCCTTCTCTTTGCTGCTCTTCCTTTTAAATCCTCATGTCTTCTCATGCTTGGGGAGAACTTCCCTTTGCAGCTGAGTGCCTCTTCCTGTAGTGCTGGCTCAGATTACAAACCTATACACAGACACCGTGTATCCATTCCTGAGACAAGGCACTCTGCTGCAAAACAGAAGTTCTCCCCAAGCATCAGAAGAGATACAGATTTAAAAGGAAGAGCAGCAAAGAGAAGGGAAACAACCAAACAACCATGGATTACAGTAAGGCACACATTACAGTATTGTTTTATGTTAAACAATCTGAGGGTTTAATGTCACTTTAAGGTTTGAAAATTAAAGGTGGATGCCAATTGGTTGCCATGCACAGCTGCTCCAGATTTTGTCTGCTCCAGCTTTGATAATTTCCCTTCCTAGAATGGGATTTCTCAAAACTGGAGCAGACAAAATGCTGATTGGTTGCCATGGGCTCCAGTTTTGATAAATTCTCCCCTTAAATGTTTTCTTACTTCTCTTAGGAACTCCGGGGCAAATCCTCCGTTTTGAGTTCTGTGGTAATAACAACAAAGTCCTACCCGCCCCCTTGGATTATTAAGTATTTTATATATAGAGAATGAACACCGTAAGACTCTTGTGTGTGAAAACAGAACCAGTGACAATGGCAGGGAATGCCCAGTAGTGATTCAGTCCACTAGACTCTACCTATAACTGGACACGACCAGTACTTCTGCGAATGTTGCAGTTTTAGGATCTGTTCGGTGTGATGCTGTGTGTGATGTGTTTGGTTTCTGAAATTGAGAGAGGCTGTTTTTTTTTTTTTTCTGAGCATCAATCCAAAATCTTTGCACGAGGTCCCCCTGTCACCTGCTGATAAAACTTTAGTTCATTTTACTGATAAACTCTTTAGAAAGGTTTAAATTGCTTACTGGCCTCTATTGGCTATTAGAGAGTTGAGTAGGAAGATTCTTCTTCCAGAGTTCCTGGCTGTGACGTTCCTCAACATGGAGTCTCTGCTGCTCCCTTTTCTAGGATGTAATCTAGACAATGAGGTCCCTTTTTATAATGTCTGTGGTGGGTTGGTAGACCTTGCTTCCAGAGATATAAGAAGCCATTCACCTTGCTGTCGGCTACCTAAACTGAAGTATCCGTTTTGAGTCGCATTCTCTGGGTGACATTTTTTTTATTAACCCTTGCAGTGGAGCCATCCCTGCACTGCACGGGTTAAGTACTCATTTGTGTCTAGGTGCCAAACAAAATTAAAAAAGTTATACTCACCAGACCATCTGAGCCGACTTGTTCTTAGACCAGCGTCTCTCCCCCTCCGCTGCAGCAGTCTGAAGGCTGTGACACACTGCAGGGGAAGCAGCGTGGATCGGCGGTGGCGTGCTGCCTTCGCGAGCAGTGTGTCATGTCATTTTCTCTCCATCACGTCAGCTTGCGAGAGCTCGCATAGCTGAGCATGCTGAGATGAAAAATTTCGTATAAACACGCGCGTCAGGATGCGACGTCTGGCCGGTTGTTACGCACGAGCCGATTGGCTGAAGGTGCAGTCAATCATCTGCCTGCACTCAGCTCACACACTGGACTTAAAGCTCCGTGCCAGACAACTTTGCGTCGCTCTGCACGGCTTTGCGTGCAGTGTGTCACGGGCTTAAGGATCCTGGTGACTTCACGCTCTATACGCTGTGTATAGTCTTGAGGATGCCGAGGAGCAGTCCATCTGTGCAGTGGAGGAGGAGACACGCTTCAGTCTCAGATGGTCGGGTCAGTATTATTATTTTTAGCACATAGACAAAAATGAGCACTTAAAGTGACATTAAAACCTCAGATTTTTTAACATAAACCAATACTGTAATGTGTGCCTTACTGTAATCCATGGTTGTTTCCATTCTCTTTGCTTCTCTTTCTTTTAAATCCTCTTGTCTTCTAATGCTTGGGGAGAACTTCCCTTTGCAGCTGAGTGGCTCTTCCTGTAGTGCTGGCTCAGGTTGTGAACCTATACAAACCTATACACAGACACCATGTATCCATTCCAGAGACAAGGCAGTCTGCTGCAAAACAGAAGTTCTCCCCCAGCATGAGAAGAGATACAGATTTAAAAGGAAGAGCAGCAAAGAGAAGGGAAACTACCATGGATTACAGTAAGGCACACATTACAGTATTGGTTTATGTTAAAAAATCTGAGGGTTTAATGTCACTTTAACCATTGAGTAGCCCCATTGCAAGGGTTAATAAAAATTTTAAGCAGAGTTCTTCATTAATTAAAACAGCAGCTAATGGAATTAAAGGCAATAAGATTTTTTTATTTTATTTAAGTATATATTTTGTCTGATAATGTCACATTCCTGTTATCTCCTCAAATGATATGCCTGTGTTTGACATCAATAGTCCACGAAGGACAATATATTATATCTGACAGCTAACCTACTTCTGGTGTATGGACCATTATTGGAAGGGTGGTTCCTTTTATATTTCTTTATGTATACTGTAATGTGTATTCATTGAACTTTAAGAATTTAGGAATTGGACACCCATGCAGCAAATAGGGGTTGCTGCATGGGTGTCTTAGAGGAAAATATAATCCAGACTTTTATAAAGTAGGGGGATTTAAAAAAAGGCAGGCTAGTGTGTGGTTTAGGGTAGCAGACATTTGAGAGATCAGCATGGTAGATGGGCAGCATTGTTATGCACACTACTCTGATTTTCCAGTTACATAACCCTCCAGGCAGACTTTCCTTTTACACGTCATCTTCTACAACCAGAGAGCAGCTTTTTTAAAGGCTCTGCTAAGCAGCTCTACCCAGTTTAGATCCACGGAAAGCCAGTTCATTACTCAGGGCTGTATACAGACAGCAAAAGCTGGACGGCGCACCCCCGGAGCTGCTAAGCAGAGCATTTCATTGATTTAACAGGTACATGTTTTTCTGCATTCTTGGTTTAGAGAGACAACATATAATGGTTGAAAATAAATGACAGGTTCAGAAGGCTCAAGTGATTACCACACCTCAGCCAGCTCTTTGTCCTTTGGGAAAATCTACTGACCATATTGGATTATTTCTGGTCATTTACTACTGTTTACAGAACACTCAGTCAAGTCCGTAGAAGAGTTACTTAAAGGAGAACTAAGAGGTGAGTGAAAATCACTCAACCTCATAGTTCGAGCCGACGTGTGACAATTAAACTGTTACACGTCATCTCAATAGATCGGGAAGTGAGCGAACACATAGTCGCTCGCTCACTTCTCGATCATCTCCCTGCAGAGAGCGGTGACTGTCACTTGCTGCTCCCTGCAGGGATTCCCCCCTCCCTGCTCTGATCCTCCAGCCATGACTACATGATTGACAGCTGAGAGCCAGCTGTGACCCGTGACCCTTAGGAGAACTATGGGGAAAACACTTACCCCATAGTTCTCCTTTTAAGTAAAAAAAAATTTGGAAGTCAGATCATAAAGAAGTCTGATAATTGCTGCCTGTCACCTATCCTAACTCGGTGTGTCAAGTCATTCAGTTGACTGGCCAACAATTGTTAGACTTCATATGACCTCTGACCCGCAACAATGGCAGATTCCATATCTCTATTCTGACAGGTTCCTTTTTACAGCTGAACTGTCTTAAGAAAAATACAGTAACTGTTTCCACTGAGCTACACAACACATGTTAGCATTCTCAAGCATTGATACTGGTAGAAAGTATAACTGTTTATATTTTGGCTTTAGATATGCATAAGTGTATTGGGTTGCAGGCATTTGTTCTTTCTTGAAGAGATCACAGTACTCCCCTTGACTATTCCATCATCTTCCTCTCTCCCCAGAATATTAGTGCCATCTTGGTTAAGGCAGCATCTTGGTCTAATATGCCAGTCAAGCAAACGCCAGTATTTATTTGTTCTGGCTGTGTGTATATAAGTTGTCTCACACAGATCAGCCCCTTTCTGCTACCTCTCACCTTGACAGATTATTAGAACTAACATATAATTCCAGTGCTGTGAGTCATCAGGGGAAACTGAGAAAATGCTTTCTTCTGCCTGCAGCAAACCAGTGACATTCCCATAAGATACTCCTCTTCTGCCTGCAGCAAACCAGTGACATTCCCATAAGATACTCCCAGCAAACCAGTGACATTCCCATAAGATACTCCTCTTCTGCATACAGCAAACCAGTGACATTCCCATAAGATACTCCTCTCAGGCTTAGACGCAGGCACTTGTCTCGTGGTAAGGGGGGCAGCTTTTTCATGATGAGAGGTACAGCTTACTTTGGTATATTGTGATATGGCAGGAATGTATTCATGTGGATGTGTGAAGATGGTGACGGTCCACTTTAATTATAAGTTTCTCTAAGGCAGCTTCCATTTGAAAAAATTCTGATATGCAAATTGGTCGATGTGAAAGAGGTTTTTAACAGCACTTATGGTTAAATGGGTAAAAGGGTAAAAGGTTCAGGAAGTTATCGGAGGAAAAGATCTATTAAACGGATGTTGTGTAGCAGAGAGTGATATTTTTCAGTAAGTGTTTGTTTGACGTCCTGCCCAGATTTCCCATAAAAGAACTACCAGCAATAATGTTGTTACTTCCAAAGGCAACCGACTAAAAGCTACACAACAAAGTTACGCAGAAATAGAATCATGTATTTTTCTATCCATATTTGGAACCTATTACTTACGTGGGTATGAATGTTAAAGTGACCCTGTCACCACAGAACTATCTGTGAAAGAAGAGGCAATATACGGAGCAGTTTCTTGTGTGTTAAACACCGGTTATGCTTCTCCGCGGTCACTGAAGGTGTTTCACATTTCCTTGCGTGTAGAATACATACTGCCCCACTGTGGTTCCTTCGTCTGTCTCATACGTCAATACAGGACGTACAAGGCGTCTTAAAGTAGTATTAAGGTCTGGGCATTTTTTACCTTAATGCATTCTTTGCATTAGGGTGGTAAAAATGGCCCAGCACCTTTTTTACCACCCCACACACACACACACACTTACCTGTCAGCTGCGCTCGTCCCCGCCGCCGGTCCCGAAGTGGGGGGGGGAGGATACTGATGGCAGAGGAGCCATAGCCTCCTTCTGCCATCAATCAAAGAGAGAAGGGGCGTGTCCTGCCACAGAGCTGTGTGTGTGTCTATGGACGCACACAGACACTGTGGGCACGGGTGCCTCCATTAGTGGATAGTGGCACCCGTGCAGGGGGCGGGGAGAAGATTGCTGCAGGGACCCACTAGAAAAGGAGCAATTAAAAAGTTTAAAGAAAAACGGCAACAGCCTCAAACAAAGGTGGGTCTCCTTGTAGGACAC